ATAATAGACGCGCCACAGTTTAAGGCAATCTCATTTTTTTCTATTAAATCATTAATGTCGCCGAAAGTATTCAATCGTTTTTCAAAATCAGGTTGATCGATCCACCTGCGATCCCATGCATTAAGTCCCTCCAGCAAATTGTAATTTTGTACGATCGATCGTTGATCTCCTTCGGCAGATCTTTCGGCAGCGATAATACCGTACAATTGAATTATAAGCTTGCGGGCAGGTACAGATGATATAACACCGAGCAAAGGTGCGAGAGCTCTTAAATGAGTTTCTCCTATTGATTTTACGTGTTTAATGAGATTTCTAACGGTCGTAATTAATTCAATAATAATATCTTCACTTTCATTCGTTAATGCCTTTTTCATCAATATCGGTAAAATTAGTACCAATAATGTATCGCACGTGTCTGGATCTTTCGCAAATTCAGAAATGCGCGATAAAATGGTTAATTCAGTTTTATTCATACCTCTTTTAGAATTTTTAAGCTTTCTCTTCATATATTCTAAAATATCATCAACGTGCGGAAGTAAAATAATGGATCCATAATTAATGGATCCGTCTGACGGAAGTTTATCGTTAACAGGAAGTAGATTTGTTAGGACAGACGTTAATGGTAGAAAAGGCATATCCATATCGACTTTCTCCGTATCTGTATTAACTTTTTCGTAATCCTTCATTGTTAACATTTTTTCGATCATTTCCAAAATAGCATTAATTACGGAGGAATGAGTTTTAGTTCCCAACAAAAGTTTCATGATATAAGGAAGAATTGTAACATTGATATTGTTGTCCTGATGCCTTAAAAATAAAGGATAGTAACGAGAATTTTGACTCCAAGAAATAAATAATTTCAACAAAGCCGTAGGACTATGAATTCCTTCTATAGGTAATTTTTCCAACCAAGGAAATACCATGACATTGAATAGAGCATCTATTTCATCCTTTTTCCATGGGTAATTTTCAAAATGGGAAAAGAATCTTGCTATTATGGCAATGGAATTAGTTTTTACATTTTTTATCGTTGACAAATAACCAGAATGAATTTCATCTGACCTTTGTAAAATCCCTGTGACTATAGCTCCGATGCACATCGATATACCAAGTAAATATGGTAAAAGTTTTCCTGTCATTTTTCCCCCAAATTGTTCTATCATAATTCCTAATAAATTAATGGCACTTCGTAAACGTTTCGGTGGAATGACATTAGTTAGATCGACAGCATCGATGATATTCTTCGTTAATACGTTGAGGTCAACGGACGCATTTGGAAAGAACGATAAGTATCTTTTGAAAGGTTTAAAGGCCATTTCAACAAACATAATCATTTCATCTTCCTTAGAGCCAGCAAGAAAACGCAATATAATTTTACGCCTTAATAATCCACCAGCTTTACCACCGGTTCGCATTCCAGTTTTCATTATCATTTTTGCATAAACGATTCTCATTAGCACAGGCATAAGTCCTGCGCGATCTTCGTCCAATATAACATTACTTTCTGGATCGACTTTGAAGCGCGCAAGTTCATTTTTAAAATTTTTTTCACCGATTATATTATACAAATGATCTTTGTACGGTAAAAGATATTTATATTTATACGTACAAAGACAATTTAAGGCAGCATTTTGTATTTCAGGATTTTTCGAGGAAAGCAAATCCAAATATATTTTATGCATTTCTGTTTCTCTATAAAATACATTGGGATTTCTCATCTTACCATATATATCCATTTGTGCCAGTAATAATTTTATTTTATATATTCTTTCTTGGGCAGGTAAATTTTTATTCTCCACCTTGGAAAACATTTTATCTTTCTCTATTGCTTCCTCATCCGTATTGGACCCTTCCTCGTTCGTATTGTCGTTAACAACAGATGCACTTGCATGTTTCTTAATGCTACAAAATTTAGCATCTTCGGCATTAGACTTGAAAAAGTTATTATTTACAAATTCAATAAATAAACTCGTTAAATCTCTGTTTTTCATTTCGCAATAGCTTGCAAAAAGTGGCATGCACTTCCAAAGAAGAATTTTATAATTATTATTATCTGCTTTATCATCCATTTTGCATATCTCCAACTCCAAACTTTGAATTATTTCAGATTGATGTACTCGTTGATACGTCCAATCAGTTGCATCTTTCAATTCAGAAAGAAATACTGGCCAAAATTGGCCACACTCTTTGCTAGCATAGCTTCCAATAATTTTACTTACAGGATCCCACAATAAGGAAAAGTTTATATAAAAATTTCCTAATAAATATCTAAGAGGAATCTCGTAATATTTGGGATTTAAATTGGCCATGGCATTACTTTCAAATGTTAAATCCTGTAAATGTAACAATTTATCTCGATATCGTTGGATCGTCGCTGGTATACCTTCAGCTAGATAAATCAGATTCAGAGGATTCTTATCAATGTCTTCCTTGGATATGATTATACCTGCGACATTAGCGAATAACGAATAAATATGCGTTACAATCAAGCGAATTGGATGAATGGGCGAATTCAATTTTTTTACTATGCAATTGTGTAGGACGTCGAATACTACTTGATTGAAGAATTTTTCATGATACTGCGATCCATTGTAAAATGTTAAATACAAGTCTATCGCATTGAGAATGAAAGGATCATTATTTTGTTTTTCCAATAAACGCATTATCTCTATATCGTGGGACTTGGTAAATTCGTAAAATTCCTCTCTTTCTAGAATATGAGTCGTCGTGTCAAGTAAGAACAAAAATATGAAGTTAAATTTGTTAAGTTCCATAATATTTTCCATATTTTCGTGATATAATATCTTCTTGTAAACCGTTAGGAATTGCTTCTTTATTGTGACTTTAATGTCTTCGGGTAGAAGTTTAAAATGTGGTACTATCATTATCATCCATAATGCATCTGATGATGTAATATCAGTAGTTATGGCGTTCAATTCTTTCAAGAAATAATCCATACTTTCTTTTGACACGTTCCTTATATCAAGAGTGAATTTCTTCCATTTGTTCAAAGTTAGACCGCCAAGACAAGGAGGTGCTTTCTGTCTTATTATTTTACCTAACAATCTTACTTCTTCGGATTTCAATCCAATGATATTACATCTTTTCAACAGATGCGGCAATACGAGTGTCTCAAATGACGAATAATTTATCAGCTTTTCAATCGCATTATATAATAATTCTACATTATCTATAGACATTATTTTATGAAGTAAATGACTAGAAGTCTCTTGAGCCAATTTAACGTCAGATAGAAGAATATTAATTAGCGCATTGATAATCTCAGAAGAAACGTTATTGTCGTTAGTTTGAAACCTATCCTCAATCATATTTATCAATTTGTTAATCAAAGGCACAGGATCATCGAGCATCCTTCCATTTTTATGAGTAAGAACAATGTTCATGAGACACAAAACAAGCTCCAAATGACATTTTCTTCTTTCTGATAAAACTTTCAATTCCGTGGTTGTTGCGTCTAACGCTTTCAAAAAAGTATTCCAAAGTACATAACATTTGGAAGGATGTATATTTCGTAGAATGCAATTCACCACCTGTCTCATAACGCTATACGCAAGATCTTGATTTATGGATTGATCTTTTAACGAATGAAAATAAAGTAATAAAATTTGATCTGCACAGGAATGAAATTGACCTGGGGTGCCAGATATTACTTCAAACATTAATCTTCCAGAGCCGGCAACGCTATGTCGACTCTCCTCCAATATTTTTAACAACAATTTAACAAATGCTTCTTTGTCTTTAACTTTACGAACGACAAAAGCAAAACTTTCTGCGGCAAAATTGTTTATATAAACTGGTTGTGCGTCATTTAAAAGCGGCAATAACATATCCAAAACTGTTCTCACATTTTTCACCAAATATCGCCATAGGAATTTGAACAAGTAGGCAAGAGCTACGAATGCATATTCTATTTGTTCCGGATCTTTAGTTTGTAATAGATCTATTATGGCATTCAAAAATTCCGGAAAATAATCATAAAAATCTTTTTGCAGATCTTTCGCCAAGGCAACCACTAATCTAAAATACATGATTGTACGCGTGCGTTATATATTTCATTATCCTTAAGACAGATATATGCAAGGCAAATTTTTACTAGGCTATACTTACTCCAGTATTGGTTGTAGAAACAAAACATCTTGCTTCTTTATATATTCCAAAAGTAAATCCATTACGTGCTGCTTCTTATTGAGCAATTGCGGAAGAGTAACGATATCACGCACCTGTCTTTTAAAGGTACAATAACCCTCCGTTAAATTGAGAAAATTCCATTTTTGAAGCGTTTCATGAAAATACGTTTCAACTTCCTCATTATTTTCTTCATTTTTGTGTGCCACACGATGAAAAACGTCGATATCAATATCGTTTATCCGTTCGGAAAATGATTTAAACTGCAACATATAAATTTTACACACACATACACATACATATATATACATATATAGTATCAATCGAGACATAATAACAATATTACCTGGAAAGTATTTTTTTCCTTATGACGAATTGGCTTGTTCTTCATTTTGACGCGATATTGCAAAATTACATCTATTATTTCATTTAATCGACGTTAACGACGCACGTGTATACGCACGTATAGAACGATCAACAAGTTAAAAAGGTTAGAAAGAACCAAAAAAAAAGAAAAGAAAAGCTAACCTAACGCCATAATTATATCACTTCGAATTGACCATTCGCAATATACCTGGAAAACTTTATAATCCTTTTATTCCTTATATTCGTATGAGAACATTGACATTTTATTCGCAACGTTTCCCTCGACGAAATACCTTTGACTCGAGGCAAATTGACATAAACCATAGTACAAGCGACGCTTCTAGACGAATGAATCTTCTCGACGTTTTCTAACGCTCCCTAGTGGCTTTCGGGGGAAATCTGTTACGGTCACGTACATGCGGCGGGAACTTTGCCAAATACAAAACGAACACGTAAAAATGTCAATATTATTTGAATGAAATGATACTTAAGAAGATTGCGTGATTGCGCAAATAATCGAAACGCTTTTAATTACGCACACATCGATAATCTGTATTATTATATTTAATCTGTACAAACAAATTTGTTGTCTTTCAATATTTTCATCTATAAAAAGGATCGCAATGCCGATAGTCGTATCTGAAAAGATAAGCGTAAATACATTAAAGTTTCTCTTTTATCGGACCGTAAATAGCTCTACTATCATCGACCATACGTATAACGCATTTATCAATTTATTATTATATTCTATAATACGATTTAATCGATATTTAAATGTTTTTGCGAGTCGATCTATAGAAATGCTCGTAAAACGGACAAGTATCCAATCGAGGTCTTCAATATCTGCAAATTCATTAAGCAGAATTTAATATCGTATCCATGCTTTTAATCATCTTATACCGGAAGTATTGATTTTAATGAAACTTCGAATATGTATCTTGTTATTGACAATTTCTCGATATCTATGAAAAATACCTACCTCGCTAAACGTATCCAAGGATAGTGCACAAAATTTTGCAGACGTTAATTTTAGCGGTTTCTTTGCTCGTTCCATACAAATGTACATCATTTTTAACTCGACCGCTGATATGTCATACCAATTGGACTGATACAACGTGTCACCGAGTCCCATGCTCTAAATCCAATAGAGAATTTCATTAAAATATATCCTGTTAAAATATATCCCATTCCTATTTCCTTATAAAGAAATTATTTGCATTACTTCCTCGATGAGACATTCACCGACGTAGCAGTAAACGAACAGTGTGTTCAATATGGTAAATGCATAGACGAAGAAAGTAACTAATACGATATTTTCTCCGTTCGTTGAACTCTGCAAATTGTTCATTGAACGATTAACGAAAGTACGATCGTTCGGTAATGGCATAAACTTACCACGAGCGCGTAGTAACCCGATACGCAGAGATTCAACGTAGTACCTAATAATTGTTGAAAAATCATTATATTAAATCCGTCTTCCAATGTTTCCGCCAATCTGTAATTTCGCCAATCTATTATTGAATCTGACACGTCTCATTGTCAATATAACGCGACGTTTCGCTTACGGACGTTCAAAAAACGCGCACTCGTCTTATAAAATATAAATACGAATACTTTTATAGAATATACTTCGTCTCGTATTTCGATAAAAAGGGAAAAAGAAAGAAAAAAAACGCTTACCTAATCAGTCGATGATGCTTGATTACCAATTTCTTCATACCTCGCTTGTAACCATCAGTATCTTCAAACGCTTCCACAACTTTGCATCTGAGTATCGCAAACTGTCCTGTAATGTGTAATGCCAAACTGGCGAAGAGACAGTCAGATCCAATGTAACCAGAGATCATGGTTACCACAATTAGGCATTGGTAGATGGAGTATAAGGTGTACGTCGTTATATCATTAAGTTCAACTATCGTTCGAGTTTTGTAAGGCAATTCATACACCAAGGACGAATTTCTCATAACTGATTAAGAAGAATAAATGTTTTCGAGAGCGTCGACCTCGAAAAAAAGAAAAAAATCGATCTTAATAAGATCGAGATTTAGTTTAGTACCTGTTAGTACCGACGTTATAATGGCTTTAAAGAAATAAAGTCCGATGACAAAGGACATCGAGACAATGGTTATCGCGATAAATCTATAAGAAAGTTTATTATAATCGAGAAAGATCAATTTCTCCTTCTCGTTCGCATAATTTTCCACGGTAAAATCCCCATGAATTTCGAGTAATAATTGGGCGATCAATCGTCTGTTCAGCCTGCAGATTGTAATTTTTATGAGTGCCATTACAATAGGCACGTTTTCCGTCAAGACTCTGACTACGTAATCGATATGCTTTGGTTGATCTATGAAATCTACGAGCGCCAACGAACAATGAAGGAGAAGATAAATTGCGAAGAAGAGGAAAAGCGGATCGTAGACTGCGAGTGGCCAAACACCCATGCATCTGAGTAATCGTTTGTTCCATCTAATGACTTTTTCGCTCTCGAAAAAATCTGTCTCCTGAAACGCGCGATCGAATGAATATATTGTGTTTTTGCTATTTTTTCTTTTTTCTTTTTCCTTCACTATTACGTTTTACGTGTATTAATATTACATTTTATATTTCGTACTTTTATCATCTTTTCCATTTCTCACTCGTGATGGTTCTTGGCGGACTAACCGGGTGAAAGGGTCGATCCTCCCTCGATGTAAACTTTCTTTCAAAGGGTTATAAACGGAGCCTTTGAATAGTTTATTCCAATTCGGACTCGACGAAGTACCGAACAGTTAACGACTATCCTCGACGTTCTGATCATCGATTAAATACGACAAAGTGCGCGTAAACAATTGATGTGCCTCTCTCTCTCTCTCTCTCTCTCTCTCTCTCTCTCTCTCTCATCCTGCATTTCGTTGGATTTCTTTCGAGAACCGACCTATCGATCGGTCGGCTATTTATCCTGCAGCTCCGTCAAAATGTAATCGAAATCTGACAAATAATCGAAGAGAATGAGAAAACTCGTAGACAGGATTAGACCGTAGATGAGGTACGATAAAAAATTTCTTTCATGTTTAACGCTTTGATGGCATAGAACGAGTCCTAGAACGACAGCAACGATTTTTCGTGAAATACCGCTTGAAGAGAAATAAATGGAGTCGGTTCGTTCTCGAAACTAAATTAAATAGTATGTATTATATCATTCCGCTCGTACTTTTCTACCCTTTTCCATTTGATTCGTAGGAAAATTGAGAGAGAGAGAGAGAGAGAGAGAGAGAGAGAGAGAGAGAGAGAGAGAGAGAGACTGGCCCCCGTCGATCCCCTCGGCGTTGGAAGGAAGAAACAAGTTTCCTACAAGTCTCGTAAAGAAAAATTGATAGGTCTGCTCCCGAGGAGGAATCATCTATCTGTTAACAACAATTTTCAACTTCTTTCTTTTCTTCGTCTTCTTCTTCTTCTTCTTTTTCTTTTTTGCCCGACCTCTCGACCATGCAATTTAACTCCATCAAGTCGTTTCTCTCTTTAGGAAAAAAACGCGACTGCGTCTTGAAAAGTTTCGAAGCTCTACAATTATAAGAGTTTTTTCATTACTTATTGTACGGTCTTAAAGCTCGTTCGGAGTTAGAACCGAACCTATGAATAGGAGAAGAGGGAAAAAGAAAGAGAAAAAATAGGAGGTAAGAAAACTTTTCTAACCGTGAATATATGATTTCTCTTTCTACGTTTTTTCGTAATTCCCGTCGGAAAGAAAAGCTTCGTCAGCGAAACGGAGAGTTTTCTTGAAAAAGTTCATCCAAAGTTATTTTTCATTAATAAGGATAACGCAAAATAAAAAATATAATAAAAGGAACAACGCAACTGTGTAAAGAAAATTTCTATTGAAGACGTCTCGATGTACGACTTTACAATCGACTTTGTTTCACATAAATAGGACGAATAGGAGGATTTGTTCGCGCGCGTTCGATCATAACATAGTACGTAATACCGACAGGTATCCCATAGAAGTTTTCAGTATCTAAAAGTGAGAGATTAGAAAAAAGAAAAGTGGTTAATGTCGTTGGAAAATGTGTGTGTTGTGCGTTAAGCGATGAGAAAAATCCTTACATCGGTGAAAGTACATAACGATAGGACGAAAAATTTCCCAGAGGTCAATTGCAACGGTTTACTTGCTCGTATCATACAAATTAAGACCATCTTCAAATCCACCGGCGATATGTCGTACCATTCGTACTCGTAAAACGCCACGGCAAAGTCCGTACTCTAAATTAATTAAGACTTAGTCGGTTTTTTTTCGGAAAGAGTGGTATGTTAATTTTGTATACGTTTTATATCGATAATTACTTCTTGAATGAGACATTCGCCACTATAACAATAGACGAACAACGTGCTCAGTATTATACTTGAGAATATAAAAAATAGAAAGAGCTCGAGAAGTTGACCGTTCGACGAACGCTGAAATGACAAATAGTTTATAAAAAGGTCTTGCGTTGTCGTTTTATAACGTTATCGTTAAATAAATAAAGTATACCATTATAGCGTTATAACCGGAAATACACAAGTTGAACGTCGTTCCTAGAAGATGTTCTAGAATTCCAAGGTTGAAGGCATCCTCCAAAATATCCACCAATCTGCGAAAAAGATGATGGACGTTTCTTTGAAACGTTGATTTGAAACCGTTAAGCGTTCAAAAAGAAATGTCAACGAGAGCAACGTCACCTTATTAGTCCGTAATGTCTGTTAATCAATTTTTTCATCCCGCATTGGCAACCATTTGGATCTTCCAAAGCTAATTTAACTCTGTATTTCAATACGGACAATTGTGCGGTAACGTGAAGAGACAATGTGATGAAGAAGGAATCGTAACCAACGGAACCGAACGTAATCAGCGGTAAAATAATAACTTGATATAAACAATGAAGACCATAGGTCGTAGGGTCATTGATTTCTATGATTGGTCGCGTCTTATAAGGCAGCTGATAACCGAAAGAGGAATTATCCATAACTGTAACAAGTAAAGGCCGAATTTCGTTGCCGCCCCTTTTTAATGATGGCCTTCAAACGTTGAAAATAATTACCCATTTGCACGTTCGTTATCAATGATACCAAGAAATATATTATCGAGATGACACCCATAAAAGATAAAGATATTACACCGAATAGATAAGATAGTCTATTGTAAGCGAAAAATGTTAAAATTTCATCTTGACTTTTGTAATTTTCGACCTTAAAATCCTTTCGTATTGTTAACAAAAATTGCGCCAACGAATCTCTGTAATATCTACAGATAATCATTTTGATGAGAGTGTTCAGCATAACCATGTTTTCCGTAATATTTGCTACTATAAGATCAAAGTTGTTCGAGTAATTGGTTAAATCGAGAATTCCTAAGACAAAATGAATTGCCAGATATACGATGGAGAAAAGGAATATCGGATCGTAAACCTTCAAAGGCCATATTCCCACGATACTGAGACATCTCCTGTTCCATGTCAACACTTTGACGGTATCGGACAGATCCACTGGCTGAAATCGAATAATATATCACGATAAAACGACACAAAAGGAAACAGGGCAACGATCTATAAAAAAAAAAAAAAAATCAAATTAATTTCAAACAGGTAAGTGCTTAAACTAAATACTCCTTCTTGTTTTGCGTACTTTTATCTCACTTTCCATTTTGTTCTTACGAATGCTGTCGACGAACTGAACGTAAAATTGACGCGACTCGTTCCTGAGGTAAACTTTCTCGTTCGCAACGGTCCTTTTAATACTTCATCCCTATCGAAGTACTTTACCCCCACCCCTATGCCACTTACTCTCATCACGCGCATACACATCCGTCGATTCGTTGCTTTTGCGAGAACATAAATTAATGATTATCCTTCGTCGCTATTCGAAACAAACGCATTCCTTTAAAACTTTTCATAAGCGAAACCATCGTGACAATTTAACTAATTTTTATTCTCGACGTAACTCGTGAACTTGTATGGATTAAAGTTTATCAAACGCATTACAATGCATTTCACACAACATTCATCCCCTTTTATAAACTTTTCCTTTCCATGAAAAGACACGAAAATTTCTTTCTATCCATTCATATCTCTTTCGATAATGAGTGAAGTAAAAAGTGAACGCGATCCAAAAAAGAACGAATTCGTTATTGAGCCAACTACAGATGAAAACGAATTAATTTATTTAATATTGGGATAGAAAATATCTGTTGGATGTATACTATGTTACGAATGATAAGGTACTTACGTAAGTAACATACACAAGCGCACACACGCGTCAAGAGATATATTATATGTAGAGAAAATATGTAATTCGAACGTAAGCTTGTTTTAATTACGATCGATCGAATAAAAAATAAACTGACGCTCTCGACGAGTGCATTCGTATTAAAAAGATATTATCGCTTAAAAAATGTTCTCATAAAAGTATTTTTAATTTATTTGTATTACTTAAAATTACGAGAAATAGAAACGTTTCGATGAATAGTTATTAACTGTTAAAATTACAAATAGAAGAACATTTTATGGGAAAAAAGAAAAAAAAAAAAAAAGGGAATTTTCGTCGTGTCATTGAAGCATCGTTAAAGCATAAGTTCCACAGGCCAGATTATTAAAGATAGTGAACACATAGAGACTTGTACAATGTGATAAACTCGGTTTGTGAAGTCGAAGTGTCTTCGTTAGTAGCATGTTTGCTAAAGCCCATATCGAGGAACCATATCGAGGAACCATATATCAGAACCATTTCGCAGAGGACCATATCATAGAACTTTACGGAACACTTTAAATGTGTCGTTTTCTCTCGTTTAGAAATCAATTTCAATAAAACGGTCGCTTTATGTTCGTTAAGAGTTAACTGGTTGTTTGCCAGTTCCCACGAGCAATTAAGAAAGAATTAGACTATAAATAAGAAAGAATTTGACTTGTCGAGTTGTAAGAAAACGCGAATCTCTTTTATCTACAATCATAAAGAGGAACTTGAACTATTTACGGCGCGCACCTTGCACCACAAGGAGTATGAAACTCCTTCCGTAGGATAATACATCACAATTGGCACTAGACGTGTCACCGAAAAAAAAAAAAAAAATATGACTCAGACATGAATGTTGATTGATTGATTTCATAAATGTTTCTTCTTCAACTTTCAAGCTCGCTTATAAGCTTCCTCTCTCACTTGTCCAACTTGATGACGAAAGCCTCGCCAGGTGGAACGTTTAGTTCCTTGAAGAAAACGTCTTGATTCAATCTATTGGTTGGTCCGACGACAACATGACCACCGTAATAAAGAGACGACAAATCCTTCTGTTTGGACGCATTGCCGAGATTAGCGACAAATACGTACGAATTTCTCCGTGGATACCAACGTTCTATCACGATTATCTCATCCTTCGTGTACCTTTGCGGAAAAAACAACGAGGAATCGTCGTTGAAAGCTCCAATTCCAAACGGATTTTAAACGAATTCTCCGAAAGCGTATTCTTAAATACGGATTCCTAAATATATTTACCTAATATCACAATTGGCCATGACATCGCTATCCTTAGAAATAGCTTTAACGTAAATCGTCGGGGTGTTAGATCTCAGTTTAATAATCTCCCCGATCGTCCCGATCAAACTGGTTTCTAATGGTTTCGAAGCCTCGGGCAACCAGGCAGTGACACCGACCGACGCAAACTTGTCATCCAATCCGTCCTTCTTCTCCCAATACATCGGCGCGAGATTATGCAAATGTGCCAGATCTTGATGATCCTCGCATTCGCAATCCATTATACCTATCTGAATGTAGAAACACTTTGAATATATCCTTACGAATCTCAATAATGCAAGGGTTAAAAGGAATAGTATTTAGTTGAACTTTATACCTCGTCCCCGTAAAATATACTGGGTGTTCCAGGAAGCATCAAGGCCAAAAGGGAAACAGCCATAGAAGCGTTCTTAACGTCGATACTGGAAGCAATTCTTCTCGAATCAACGCCACCAACGGACCAATGTACCCACGGGTAAGATGCTTTCTCGAAAAGTATACCTTTCGTTATGGTTTCCACTTGAGCCTTTATGTTCTCGGTACCATTGGATACGCGTAATGTGACGTCGATCAGATCTATTCTCGTAAGTATCGTCTTTTTGGATGCCTCGAAATGCATCGCAGCGTTAAGCGCGTCGACATGACAAATGAGTATCTTTCGAGGTCCAAGCAGAGACCTCCAATGCTTTATGATATTGGGAAAACTGCTTTCGTGAACGTAACGTTCGAGACCCTTCAAATAAAATCCATCGACGCCTCTATCGATCCACGTTTTAATGGCCGAACCGATCGAACGTTCATTAACGATCGAATCCGATGAAACGACTGGTAGAGCTCTTGGTTCTTCGAACGGTCCTAGAGTACTGCTAATCACCGACAAAGTATTTCCAATATTTTTAATCGACGGTGTCATCGTCGTCGTCGTCGTCGTCGTCGTCGTAACCATATCCTCGAGCATCGAATTCTCGATCAGGTCTCTTCTTTCACGGATCTCTTTGTTCGTCCTGTTCGTGGTCATTTCCTCACCTTGAAGCGTCTTCACGTACGGATAAAGCGGTAGATCGAGGATAAGGCTCATGTTTCTACGATGTATCTCATTTAGGAGTTTTTCAAAGTCCTTCAACGTACCGAGATTCACGTTTATATCCGTCATATTGCTGATGTCCGAATAATATTCCGGATAGTGCGGCGCCGGAAATATCGAGTTTAGACGAATTCCACGAACGCCGAGTCTCTTTAGGTAATCCAATCGCATCGTGATACCACGCAAATCGCCGATACCGTCGCCGCCTTTTGAGGAATCTTGAAAGGAAGCTGGAAAGATCTCGTAGAAGACGTTTCCTTGCCACCACTCTATCGAAGGATCGCATCTGGAAGGTATAATATATTTATGAACAACCGAGTATCGTCTAATTCACAATGAATCTTACTTTTTAGGCATCGTCGCGAGGACCCCTATGACAAGAGCAGTGCATCCAGTCAGGATCGACATCAACGACCAAAAACAAGTTTTTCTTATCAGTGGCCAGTTCCATTTCATAAATCGATAATCTTTCGGAGACTTTGGCACGACCAGTTGTATTCCAACGAGCGGTGGCTTCCCACCGTTCTCCTGATTGTAAAACTAAAGAGTTACGGCGTGAGTATACATTGTGTGATTTGTTAGAGAAAGATAGATCACCTGCGGGAGAGGAAGGGGGGAAGGGAGGGGGGGGCGAATATTAGTAGTAGACAGCAAGCGAGTGAGAAAAAACAAAAGAAAATTTATACGAATTCGTACGTAAGATGTTTTCGTTTGCGAACAAAACTTTATTCTTTAGTAATCGAAACATGTCCAAAGACGTTCTTTTTTTTGTTCGTTTGTTTCTTTTTTTTTTTTTTTTTTTTTTCTACGAACAAACCCACGAGCTAACTTCGTATCCGCTTGATAAAATATTCGATTCCAATATGTCTATCAAAGATATCTCTTTCAATACGATATGGCTTATACAATTGTTCTCGAAATTTTTTTTGAAGAGCTCTCTTGTACCTCGCCTATCGATTCTCTATTTATCATCGTGTGATCTTGCCTGCCATTGTCGTAAAATGCCTCCTTCGCGTCTTCTCGAGTCTCTCGTTCGACGCCGACTCTATTATTAATAAATTCTGTCACGAGCTACGAGCGATCCACGCGACGTTATTGTATTAAAATAGCCAAACGCCCAATACGGGCGCTCGTTTCCAATATTTTTCTATTCGATCGTCGAGGGTCGAGGAAAACAAGTGGAAGGAAAGAAGCGAATGATCGGCCATGGTCCAAACAACAAGTGCACAAGCACAAGCGAAAAAGATTTATAAATAATGCTAAACCGTTGTATGTAACGAAAGTGTCTATCTGCGTCTACCGATGCGATATTATCGCTTTTTTTTGCCGGGCAAACGATATTACGCAGGCATCGATATCTTTGTACAGGTAAGTACTATGCAAGGAGCCTATCAAATTTACGTATCAATGCTTTATCAGCTGACAGACTCTATAGCTAACGATCGCTTTAACCTACTGCAAATCCATCGTCTTTTATATATATTTTACTTAAAAATAAGTTTCGACCAATGAGATCGGCACTTTGCTATTATTTTCTCTTCTTTAAGTTACGATCTTATGACACCGACAGAAAGGATCCATTTCCGTTCGCCTTATTCCTCCCATGAAAGATCTTTTTCCTCTTACCCCCGCCGTATATTCTATCGATTATTTTTCATCACCGCTATATCAAAACTAGTTGAGATCAACGACTAATTAAAGAGGATGAAAAATGTAGGGATAAAAAAGAAGAAACGATAGAAAATGGAAATTAGCGCGTCCACGCAGGCTTGCGTCTACTCACTGAGTGAAGAAAAAAGAAAAAGAAATTTTCATTCGAAATTGAATAATCATTTTCGTTCGATATAATAAAACGTACATACCAATAACGTAGATTCCATAGTATAAGAATGAAAGAGATTCGATACTGGATAAGGATAACTCGCGAGTATGAAAGAAAGAAAAGAAAAAAAAAAAAAAAAAAAAAATAAAAGAGAGAAAAAGAGAAACGTCGAGTCAGTTTCGCGATGACGCACTTCGAGTTCATATATCCAAGAAAAGTTGACGCGAAAGTTAAGTCGATTCGCGACACTTCAATTATATACTTACTAGAGCTTGAGCGTCTGGTGCTAAATGTTGATAAGCGGTATTCAGCTGTGTAAGTAATTGAGCGCAAACCGGCTCGTTCGTATCACTACTGCTACCGCTCGTGCTCGATTCCACCATCGGATCGCGCGAACTCGGTTCTGCAAGAGTCGTGATAAAGATCAAATCAAAGAATAAAATAATAATCTGTCGTTATTTATTTTATACGGTCGTATAAATCAACGATTTTCCAAAGAATTTGCTTTAATTAAAATGCAATATAATCGGCTTGGAAGCGTAATTGCGCAATGTCAATTTTAATTCGTTCTTATTAATTTCAATTTCGTTCAATGAAACGTCTCTTTCACTTCTTTTTTTTCTTCCTCTTCTGCGTAGTAACTCGTGTGCGAGTTCGTCAAGATTAATCGCGGTATAAATTGAAACTGGATCCTGTCAAGACGCTTTGTGTTCTCTGTGTTTATGACGATGACACGACCACGCGCGTGATTACGTAAGGGGTATTTAGTGTCCGGCGACGGCGACGAGTCAACAGAATCGCTCTTCTTCTCTTTGCCTCTCCTATTCCCATTAAGTCGATTCCCATTCGCGTGAGACAAACGATCACCAGGAAGAAAATAAATTTCAAACGAGTAGTAGTCCCTCTTTTCTTGCGAAAGACGTCTCGTATTTAAAATTAACAAAAAAAAAAGAAGAGAAAAGAAAAGAGAGATCACCAGACTCTCAGACAAGAAGAAAAATCATTTGATCGTTTTTACGTCCTTGCCAGGCACTATGGTACACCTACCATCGTGAAGAGGTTTAGACGAACTGTTTACGAGATTCATGAACGCATTGAGCCCGTCCTCCTCGTTAATATTTTCTAGCGTTGGCGTTGTTATCATTTCCAAAGGTGCTCCTTCGAGAGGCCTGTATATAGGCGTCGCCGATTCGAGAGAATTATTTATCTGCACGGCCGGAGGTGGACTCGGCGTCAAGAGTGGACAGTCCGAAGCTTCCTCGTCCTGCTCCTCGTAACCAATTGAAAATATATATATATTTATATATATATATATATATATATATATATATATATCGATGATATTAGATCGATATTAGATCGTTATTATTGCATTTCAGTTATCGAGTTCGCACAATGATAAAGTGTATCTAATGAAAGAAGAAACGTGACTAAGTGCGAATAAAGCGAAAGTCAACGATAACTTTGCTATGTCATAGATAAGGAAACACACCTGTTGGTCCTGATTTATAAAGAGCTGCTGCGAACTGGCCGAAGATGGAATTTCGGAAGGCAAGACCACCGACAGGAGGCCATCGCTCTTCGGTATATTCATCTCTATTATCTCCTTCAGGATTCTTCTTTAGTATCTACGAACGGAACAAGATATACATACAGTTTTCAAGGATAAAGAAAAAGCAGAAAAACCGAATTAGGTTTTTATCGTCGACAATGTTCATAAGCAGCGTTCATAAACACGCAGGCGTTGATCCTCTGCTTGGACGAGGTGTAACGCCAGTGACCGGACTCTTTCTTATCGATCCGCGTGCTTTGTAATAAATATTTACAAAGTTGTTACGAGCGTTCCATCAAATAATTTACCAAAATTATTGGATAAGAAAGAATCGCTTCTCTCTACGCACTTATTAGCAGTAAAGGATCATTCGATAATCTTCAAGTATATTGACTTTTACGTTCGTACGTATATTTTTACATACGTTTAATATAGAATAAGAGAAGGAGAAGGACCTTTCATCGATACTCTCGAGTGAGAGTACTGAAACGTTGAGCGCGCGTTCTCTCTTTTTCTCGTTATTAAGAGAGCAGCACGCTCGAGGCGAATCGCGTTAATTCCCTTCCCGTTATATTAACATTTTTAACGATTCTGCGATCAACGAGCTCCTATTACGTACGCGTGTATCTTGTAACGATGCCAATAGAACAATGCCCGTCCGAAACGAAATTAACTCGTCAACGCATCGTGCGATTCGCACGAACGTATCGCCTATTTATTTACATGCGTACGTACGTGCGTACGTGCGTACGTGCGTACGATAAATTATCGATCAGCCAAAAGGATTATTTTGATTTTGCGTTGAAAAACTTTATTCATATCTCTCGCGTATCGAGCAACACGACACAATTCGCACAAAAGACGATCGAATCGCTTCTACCCGAGCGCATTAATCAAATTAATTAATCTAAATCAAATAAAGTAAAATCGTCTTTATAATTTGTCTTTCCTCGTCGATTCATTCGGTTTCGTGTCAATCGATGATGCAAGATTAACGCGACGCGTAAAGTTTTACGAAAGACCAAATCGTGATTCGCACGATGCAACGTCGATCCAAAGGCCCGGTAACGGCTCAAAGAGGACACGATCGACGAGGAAAAGGATCTCTTCTCTACGATCTGATCGGTACGATACGAGCCATTTCGCACGCGCACACATAATCACCCACCCGCTCACTGACAAAAAATACGTACGTAGGACGTAAGAATGAAATATTCGTAGCACTTTCATCCCCTCGCAATCGAACGAACGTGTGTGCGTGGGTGGGTGAGAGAGGGGGGTGGGGGCTTGAAGAGACGATTCCCTGCCGGTTTTTCTTCAGCCTTGACTTTCGAGTAAGTCGATTAGTCGTTCGTTTCTTCTCAAAATTTTCTTTCCAAAAAGGTCGCCCCCCCTTTTTCTAGGCACGTTCCCTAAGAGCCGCCGAAGGAGAAATATACGATTTCACAGCGACTAATTCGACGAGACGTCCGTTCGAACCTAAAAACCGCGTGCCTCGGCGTATTATATTTAGCAACGCGGTTTCTCCTCACGTTTCTTCGTCCCGATGTCCGCGCCCTCCTCGATTCTGCGCTCTCTGCGCCGTTGTTACCGCTTCACCCCGATGACACGAAAAAGACGACGCCTCTTTTATTTTCTGCATTTCGTAACTATTGCGAAAAAATAAAAGAAGTTATTCCTTGGTTGGAAAAGCATTTTTATAACGAAATATTCGAAGAATACTCGTTTTAAATTCGTTTATCTCGATATTCCGTCTGCTCGGTTCGAAATTTCTTCTACGAGCTATCCACGATTTGAATTTGGTAACAAACGTAAAAAGTATGACTGACGATCGATAACGTAGGAAACACCAGTAATAGTTCTATTATCTGAAATCGCCAAGACGTTTTTATCGACTTGTTACCACTTTCATAATATCTTTTTTCTTTTTCATTGCGCAATGCCACCTATAACTTTATAAAATTAATATTATCGGTATTCTAATAATATTCGTTCGAGTCATGACGTAGCGCTGTCAATTTTGCAGGAGCACGTGAGAAAAATGAATTGTATTTGTATACGCTAGATGTCATCATATGTATACTACAAGAGAGTCTTTTTTAATGGCGTTTAATGGCGGCGCCCGTTGACAATTGATGGTCGACGACACTCGCGTCTCGACTTTAGCGATTTTTATTTTATCAAATTCGACCAACTTCATTGCTGTAATTAAAATTTAAATTTTTGATGCGCTACATCGAATCTTAAAGGTTCGATGAAAGTTAAAAAGAATGTCTCTTCCTCTTTGGTCTTCATTTTTGCCGGAATAAAATAGCTGTTTAACGAGGCACGATGATGCAATCATTGATAGTTGTCAATTACGTTACGAATAGACTAATATTAGAATCCTCTCGTATATTTGCACGAAGATAATAACGAGGGAGAGGGCACTTAAAATTATTCGTCGAGATTGCGTTTGAGATCTTACGAGACGCGTTACATCGCGGATACAGGAGTATCCTAAGTGCATGCGCGTACTTGCGTGTGACCTTGGAGCAAAAAGGATCGATAAAAAACGATTAAACAACAGTCGAACTCGAGAGCGGACTCGGTAAAATCTTCAGCTTGGCTCTCCCGTTCGATATTCTTCTATACGGATTAAACGTATTTTAGAGGCGACCAAAGTTTATTTAAGCGGCCATTAGCTCGATATTACTAGCGACTGGACTAGCGACGGATAGGAGATGAAAATAGGATGATACGCGTTAGACCGAAAGTAATGTCAATTGATCAGTATCTCATTGCACCACTTGGTGTGGTGGTAGCTGCTTCCGCAGAGCCAAATGTTAAATGAAAATATCTATTGATCTATTCACTCACCGATTACGGCCAACTATGTTTACAAGTCGATAACCAAAGGCGGACGGCCTCTAAATTCTCGCCAATGTCACCGTAAAAGCGTTTATCGATTCGAAAGAATATGTTGCAACATGATCGTTTCTTAGAAATTCTTTCTACGAAAAATTTCGCGTTATTCGAAGAAAGAAAATTTTCATAACAAGCTAAACGAGATAAAGGTTATGTCTTACCGTTTGTAACTTGCGAGAGAAAATAAAGATAAATCTCTCTCTTTCTCGTTTTATCCACGATAAATCGCCCTATTCTTGTTTTCTTTCTTGTTCTTGGTTCGATGCGAATGAACGGACGCATATACTCGTACATATGTAACTAATCTGACGCAATGTCGCATAGGTAAACACGCGTGTATATCGATCGATCACGTAGGACGCAGAAAAGCTATGAATGAACGTCGAAGAATAAGGACACGCAATGCAAAGATAGAGGAAGGCACGCATTGTAAACATTTAACACATACATATTTCTGGAGTTGTCATTCTCGAGAACGTCTATGACATCATCGTTCATTTCCGAGTATTGCGAATCTGTGAAGAATTGACGAACGTTTTTTCTCCGAATCCAAATTATTCCTCCTTTTCCTCGGAGCAATTATCTCGGATGGGACGCGTTAGTCTCGTACGACGTTCTTATGTCGATTGAGAAAAGCAATTGTCCATGAGGAGATATATATATATATATATATATATATATATATATAATGGGACAATGCGAGCGACCTAGACGCGACGAAATACTATTGTTGTGACAAACGATTATAACGTTCCTTCGAGATGTCGCACGAACGTTCGTACCTATCGATAATCCATGCGATATTCCAGTTCCTACTTATTGATCTCCTTAATTATTGATATTATTAAGGATAGAAGGATCGATCTCTCATGTTAAATTACATAGTCTAATACATAGTTATAATAAATATTATAACGTAAGCAAGGTTGTAACGGCGTTCGATATCTATCAAAGTTTAACGAGAAGGAATGTCTTTTCGTGCGCGACAAAAGGGACGTTTAAAAATCGCGCGCTTGGAATTTTAACGAACCCAGGAAGGAAGTGATTTTCAACGACGAGCGAGTGGCAGAGGGACGGGGCCGAGGGGAGATAGAAAGGAAAGGGGAAACGCAAAAAGATAAAGAGTCAAGAGACAAGGAATTTTCGAGAAGAAGAGAAAATGCGTCGATGCGATCCATTCAAGTTCTCTCTCTCTCTCTCTCTCTCGGATAGTAATTCAGCTTCGGTTAATTTCGTGAATCTTCGCGCACGTTTATGCCTCGCCCTGCTCGCACCCGCCCTTACCAATAACGTTCTCTTTCTTGTGATTCGAGCGCACGGGGAAAGGAGGAAGGAAGAGGAAAGATTTACGTGCACGTATATCTCTGCTGTGTGTGTGTGTGTGTGTACGATAGAAAGAGGGAGAGCGCGAGGCTTCGCGTTCGATTAGAGCGCGCGGTCAGTCGGTGGCGAGAAGTTAGCTGCTTCGAACGTTATTTTACTTAATCCAGTTGCGATATAACACCGAACGGTGGGTATTACTCTCGAAGAAGGAGCAAAATGGTCGAACACGTTCAGGACTATGTAAGTTATTTTCACGTATTTCGATCAGAAGATATTTTTTCTTTAGAAACGATCCAACACGATCGATTGATCGAAGGAACGTTCTAAGTGGGCTTTTAATTAAGTGTAATACTTAAGAGATAACCTTGAGAAACGCGGCAGAAGCGGATACGCATCATTGGTACGGCGATGGGTGACACAGTTCGGCACGATTATATCATGCTTTTACGTGGCAGTAAATGGTCTTCGACCGATCGATCTCCAGAACGAAAGCGAGAGAGAGAGAGAGAGAGAGAGAGAGAGAGAAACATGTCACTCCTATATATTTACCAGCTATACGTGTACCGCCAATTGGCTCTACGCATTTCCATTATTATCGTCCCTCGAGCTTACAACGTGTTATTTTTGAGAACGATTGTACCCCTGCGATGACTAGTGAAAAAATACTTTACCATATCTTTCAACTAATTATTTATTCTCACTCGATTGCCATTCGATATCTATCGCGGTACTCGCGCTGATCGATTATAAATCGATCACAAGTGTATTTATTGAGGTTATTTCATCGATCGAGAGTGGAAGCGAATTATCGCGACGTCATCCGTAAAGTGAGCTTCCTCTTGACACGTGTATTGCTAGAATTTAAGATATTAAGTCATTATCGAGTGAGTGCTGCCTGATAACGTATCATAATCTGTCTATCTTATTCGTTATATATCCTTTATAGCTCTGTCTACATCTACTCGTTTACACAAAATTTAACGGTTTCACGATGTATTTATTCTTTCCCGTTCCACAGAGAGCCCAACTATTAGACCTAGTACTATTGATTAAAGCATATCGTAAATTATATATATTTGCAGGCAGATTTGGAGAGGAAACTTGAAAAGGCTGGCTCGACCTTGGTCGTAATTGACTTTTATGCGATATGGTGCGGCCCTTGCAAAGCGATCGGACCAAAGATCGAAGAGTTAGCCAAGGTACAACTTAGCGTTCATTTCATTAATAATTCATTTCCTATCTTTCGGAAGGAAGTTTTTATCGAAGTTCCTTTTATCTTATTCCCTTTAGGAAAGAGAGGATGTTATTTTCCTTAAAGTCAACGTAGAAGAATGCGAAGATATTGTGAATAAATACAAAATAACTAACATGCCTACTTTCGTTTTCATCAAGGAAGGCAAAGTGGTACGTATAAGGTCACACATTAAGAAGCACGATCGATTGATGAACACCTCTTGCTCCTATTATATGAGAGATGTTAATGTTGAGTATTAAATGAAATATTCTTTGTTTTAGTTGGAAACATTCTCCGGTGCTAATTACGAATTGTTGTTAAGCACGATCCAAACTCACAAATAGACGAAAATGATAAATCTTTAAATGCATTGTACTTTTAAGCAAAATAATTGCTATTGCATAGCAACGATATACACGCACGAGTTACACGAATGGTTTATCATAATTTTTTATTAACAGTATTCCTTTAATGCAATGCCCCCAATGGGATAATTTTTTAAAAAAGATTTTTATCGTAAGATTTTTGTCTCATAATTTCTATCGTTTGTATAATCTGTTTTGCGAAATAAAGTGTACTCGGCTTAAAATACGTACGGACTTGACCACATGGTTTTTATATATCCTTCACGAACATCGAAGAAAGTTATAATTTTTGGCTTGTAACGTCGAAGAATAAAAAATATATAATATTTATATTCCTTTGTACAATATATACATTATTATTAGCGGATTGGGCTAATACGCCGTTATTTTGCGCTATTTACGACGAATGCTGCGGCTTTTCTTCGATAGGATTCGCCATTAAAGTTTTAATGCATTCTTTGATAAATAAATAAAAAAAAAAAAAAAAAAACTATACGATACGTTCCAGTAAATGATGTTATTAAAATTAATCTCTGGACATTATATCGATATATGCCGATGATAAATAATAAAAAATGTTTCCTTAAGTAATTAATGAATCGGATGTACTTTTGCTAAAGTATTTTCGTTAATAAAGAGCATGCACCTGTACCCGATCTACATGGTTGACCTAGCATCAATCGACCGGATGGTGACTTTAAATCGTCCTGCTTTCCTACAAATAAAACAACGAGATAATATAATTATTTGACAATTTTTCTTAAAAGAAGAAAAGAAGATTCTCTTACTTCGTAATATGGCATTGCGCAAAAAATTGAGAGAACTTTCGAAACTCATTTGTTGCAAAGGCGAGGCAGAATCGTTCATGCCTTTACGACTGAGAGGCTGAAATGTACCATCGAATGTCATGTAATCGGCAATTAAAGAGAGATGCCTAGAGTCCACCGTTATTCCATACATTTTGAATACGTCTTTGACCTCTCTTATTATTACTTTGTTGGCAGCCTCGATACCATAAGTTTGAGAAATACCATAGATATCGTTGGAATATAATCTAGGAAGATCCAAAACCTCGTTGTATTTGAACATTTCCTGAAGGAACAAGCAATAATTGCATTTAATACTATTATATAAATATATACAAGTAGAATATAACAGAGAGTTAACTCACTATTATATTTATTCCGTCAGTTTTAAGAATAGTTTCTCCGTCAGAACTTTCTATCGTAAAAGCTCTTCTTATGTCAGGAGTCTCCCAGAGGATCACTTTGCCAGCAACGTTTCTAATAATCGTTGGCAAGTCTATCTTGGTCATCTTAAGCGGCAACTGCGAAGCAATACACACACATATATATATATAGATCTTATTCGACGTCACCTTATAATATAATAATAATTTACCAACCCAGAATTTTAATTTGCACCACAACGATTTTACTTGGTCACATTCGTATTCCAGTGCATACGTATAAGCATTGACTATATCATTATTACACTTCTTGTGTTTGTCGTTCGCGTCATAGCTCCTTCCTGAAGACCAATCGTCATCGTCATCCCTCTCTTCCACGTCGTTGTTGCTCGATTCACGAGGCGGCATCATCTCTTTGATATCATCGTCATCGTCCTTTTCATTTCCATCCTCCACCTCGTCCTCGGTATCGCCCTCGTATTCCTGATTTTCTTGGTGACGCGATATCGTCCGAGTCACCGTCGCATCCGCATCCTCCGCGGCTTCCTCCTCGTCGGACGACTCGTGTTGCTCTCCCAAATCTCTTTTAACGTTCGTCAATTTGGACGCCTTCTTCGGTTCGTCATCGGTCTCCTCTTCGTCCAATTCTTTATCTTCGTTGTTCCCTCGTTTCTTCTCATCTTCGACGTGTATCAAGGTACCAGTTACCTTGGCAATCTTTTTTATTTCCTTGAACAATGCTTTGAAAAAGATTTGTTCGGTCTTTTCTATTATACCCTGTGGGCTCACGGAAAATTCACTTTTGTAACATTTGTAAGGTAAAAATTCAATATGCAACGTGTGAAGCAAACGTCGGTGAGGAAAATGTTCCATCTCCTTGTCAATTTTAATATCTTTCAAACGTCAGTCATAATGCACTTTGTCAGTTTTTGTCGTAATTTATTCGATCGTTTGGTAAGATTTTGCAAATCCTTCTTAAAAGGTATCTCCATCGTCGGGGTCTTTATGGTTCTCGAGGCCATCATCAATATCTCGCGTAATCTCGGAATACCCAAGGTAACGTTCATTTCGCCGCGTCCCGCGTGGTGGAACGTATTGAGCGTCATTTGCGTCGATGGCTCTCCTATCGATTGTGCCGCTAACAAACCAACGGGCTCACCCGGCGGGCATATAGATTTCATTACCTTCATTGACAAAAGATCTCTCAATTCGGCCTTATCCATTGCCGTTGCAAAACTCATGTCAAACGACTTGTTGTCCGACGTTACGTATTCGTCCATCAGCATCTCCAATCTTTCCGAAAGTACGCCAAACTCTATGTCCTGTCTGAATTTCGACGTCAAAGGATCTGGACATCTGATGCATTGCTTTTTATATGACTTTTTCGTTTCCTCGTCCATTCTTATCCATTTCCTTATAAGCGATAGTGTCCCTTTACTTCTTCCGCTGTTCTCGTCGATACGTTTGAATTTCGAACTCGCAGGATTATAATTGTCCGCGGTAAATATCGAAAATTCGTTTCTCCTTACTTTACTCAACGTTCTACCGCCATTTTTCTTCGTCCATTTCTTTATTTTCCTTATCGATCTCAAAGTGGATTGATAATTTGTCTCCTCCTTCAAATACGTCACCAGATTCGGATCTACGATGACATTTTTATTATCCACCAAGAAATCCATATGGTCCTTCTTCAAGAACGTCGAAGCGGTCACATCGAGACCATCCTCGCCGTAATAAATTTGAATTAAGCTACCGTCGGAATCTCTTACGGTCGAATCATAATCAACAACCAAACCCTCTAAATGCTTTATAAGACACCTTTGGAGGTAACCAGATCTACTTGTCTTTACCGCGGTATCGATCAAGCCCTCCCTACCGGCCATGCAATGAAAAAAGAATTCTTGAGGTTTTATACCGGTCATGAAACGTCCATCTACGAATCCTCCGGCCCTAGGCGTTGGATCGTACGGTGAAAAACTCGGTAAACTTTTGCCGCTTATCATTAGCGGCGGCCTTTTACCTTCCAATTCTATTTGACCGAGTAAACAGGAAATTTGCATAGTATTTACCATAGACCCTTTGGCACCCGATAGTACCATCAATTGTAAATTATTATGGGGGAACTTTTTCAAAAGACCCGCCGGCAAGCAAGTTCTATTAATGTCGTTCGTGTAAACGTCCAATACATTTTTGTACTTCCTGTCGACCTGCGCACGAAATTTCGGTTCCGTTCTATACGATTCTTCCGCTCTAGACAATATCACATCCGTCGGCGTATCGTCAGCCATGTCCAATATGGCCCTTTGCACATCCTCTCCCAATTTTCTACATTCCGAAATGATCTCTTTGCGTTTGACGTCCGCTCTCGGAACTATTAAAATATCCTCGATGCCGAGAGTAAATCCGTCCCTTTGTAAAAATGCCTGAAAGAGTTTGCCAAAAGCGCTTAACAGTTTGCTAGAGCACGGACCTCCGTACAATTCATAAACGCAATGTACCAGACCGTAAGGAGTTGCGCCGTAATGCGTTTTGTCGAGTACGCCGCAAAGGAGCTCGCCGTTTCTTACGATTACCTCTGCCTCCGACATTTCTTCGGGATATTTGAATTCTTTACCGCCGCACTTCCACCGTCGTGACGGCCGTCTTTGCCATTGTTTAACGTTAATCTTTGCCCTTGACTTTAAATTAATACGCGCGGTATTCGGGGGAGTAATATTAATAAGTATGCTCGATATTATTTGCTTGCCCGACCATAAAGGGAAAGGCTTCAATATGGTAGGCGGTAACAATTTCAAATCGCCTTTGTGCCCTACCAAGGCGCAATAGAGCAATTGCATGTAATCGGTACGAGAAAAGAATTTACCACGCATGGTCAAACGTACACCGGATATTACATGATCTTGTATGAGTCCGCTCAATGGGGTACCGTCCTTTGGTACGAGATATTGATTCGATACGTTAGCAATTAAATATCCCTCGCTTCTTGCCAATTCATTTTGCGGAAAGTGAACGTTACACTCGTCGCCATCGAAGTCCGCATTGTAGGCCTTACAATTGGCATAATGAAGGCGCAATGTTTTTTCGCCTTTCAATATGCGCGCCTTGTGCGCCATTATGCTAGGCTTGTGCAAAGTCGGTTGACGATTTACCAATAGCATATCGCCGTTTTGCAAGTGCCTATGGACAATTTTAATGCCGTTAAAGAAACGATTGGCCTTATCACTGCTCGGCAATAAACGTTTCGCTATGGCTTCCCTCTTGGTTATGTCGTACGGATTGAGACGTTGCACAGAACCATCTTCGTTTTCTATTATAACTGCTCCTGGATGAATATTTGGACCGTTCAATACCAATTGTCGTAACTCGAGTAAATTCCAGGGTGTTACCGGTATAGGGTAGGTCAATTTCAGCGCGAAAGTCTCGGGGATGCCAATCTCGTCGATGTCCAAATTTGGATCGGGCGTAATGACCGAACGTGCCGCATAATTCACCCTTTTACCCATCATGTGCATCCTTATGATGCCTTCCTTTTTTTCAATGACCTGCTTCAAACCGTGACAATTCGCAGAATCCGGGGTCTTGTTCAATTCTCTATCCATTAAGTGATCTATATCGGTTTGTAACGACTGCCAAGCATTGTGGAGCTTCTCTACGGGCGTACCGCCCTTTATTTGTTCAAAAACCATCCTTCCTTCCTCCGGTAGCCGACTCGTATTACCGTCCTGTATAGACTGTATGATGTTCCGAAGGATTAAACAATCTTGTATGATACTTTTGTAAACTTGACTCTGTGGATGTTCGATCATTTGTCCATGAAGAAAGTTTATGGGCCTTACTATGGGCGGCAAAACGGGCACTACGTCGAAAAAGAATACGTCGGTCGCGTACTCGGTATTTACGTTATTCAAGCAAGGAATGATCACTTTAAGAAATTCTTTCTCATTTGCCCACAACTTTCGCAAATATTCCTTCGATTGGTCCGGCATTACGATTATTGTTTCCAATTTATTTACTACCGTGTGCGACTTTATATTAGTCGTAGCAAAATTGGCATCATTGACTTTAGTCGTCATAATCTTATTCCTTAAAATAGTAATCTTTGGTATAGCCTCCTGACAATTTATACATATTTTTCCGGCGTTATATTGCTTTAGGACGCTATCCACGTACAAATGCCACTGGGCATTGACATTTTTTGTATTTAAGTGAATTCCATTGGTACGACTGCTAGGCAAATGTCTTGCTTTGTTAACAAGATTCCTTATGTATGTTTCTATTATATCTTTAATATATACCAGATCAGATTCATGTATATCCTGGGATTTTGTTTTGGCGGATGTTATTTCATCTTCCAAACCGTCTATATCGCTCAGTAATCCCATTTCTAGGATCTTTAGTTTTCCGCACAATAACATCTTTATATGAGTTGGTATTTGTAAAGTGAAACAGTTTAGGCAAGATAACTTTATCAGCATGGACAATGCTTTGTGAAATAACGGATTGACAACTGGCATGGGTAATTCTATATGACCAAAATGGCCAGGACATTTGAATACCGTGGAACCGCATGTTGCACAAGGGTCTGAACTCTCGAGCAAAGGTCCTGAAATTGAATAATTGCATCATACACGCGCGCAGATACATACATATATATATATATATATATATGTATATACACACACACACACACACACACACACACACATCACACGTATATTGGGTATAGATGGGAAATTACCTAATGCTGGATCGTACAAACCACCTTTCAATGGATGGCCCAATATATTAAACGAGAGAGGAGTTCTAATCTTTATAACGCTTAAATTTATCACGTCTTCCGTCGTAAAGATCGAAAACGTCAGGCATTTTGGATCCAAGTGTTTCGGACTCGAGCGATTTTTCTGATATTTCTGCATTTCGAGGAAGACTTTGAAATCGAAGAAAGAATGTTTCTCGCCACATTAATCCTATCGCACATGGTCTAACCTAACCTAACTCCGACCGAGTCGGCAAGCGAACGATGCACGCGAACTTTTCATTGGCTGACGACGTAAGTCTATATCGTATATCGATATATCGATATATCGTAAGCTATCGATAGTCTACGATATATCGACTAGATTACGTCGGCTGAATCATTCTGTGCGAGTGCTGATGACAGAGGCAACAAATATTCTTTTTTACTCTTATCAAAGTACGTAGATAATTCAACGAGTTTCACCTGCATGACAAATACAGTCGTTATTCCGATAAATATCACGACATGTTTGGTAAAAAGAAAGAGCCAAAGAGACAGTCCAAATCTGGAAATCTTGCCCAGGTAAAACTCATCGATAATGTACGTTCGTATAAATTCGTGACAATGCAATGCTTTCTCTTATTGATAATAATAATTTCATTTGAAGTATGGAATATTCCAAGTACCCGACAGTTTGGACGATCTCGGTGGTGCGGGAGAGGACGAGGACGACGAAGATTTGGAAGCTGAATTGGCTGCTTTAACGAGTTGCGACGATAATACAACGACGACGACCAAGCATAAGGGTAAGTTTTAGGTATAGGGTTAGTATTTTCCCTTTGCCGCTTATCCCCAATAATAACTTTAACAAATTGTACTCTCTAACGTAGTTCACAGGAAAGATTCTTCCGCCTTGGATGCAATGGTTTCTGAAAGTATGAAAGATGTAGAGGAGGAGGAGGAGGATATTTCTGACGGAGAAGACGATCCAGATTTACTGGTATATTTTATAGAATTGCATACAATTGCAAGCCTTTTATTTATATTCGTAATATAAATAAACGTTTTATTTGCACAATTATGTGCAAGAACTTTTTTAATAACAGGAAGAACTCAATATGATTACCGAAGATGACCAAGAGATAAATCTGGATGAAAAAGATCCTGAGAATAGCCCTACTAAAGAGTATGACGGTTCTATGGGAGACGATAGGTTAAAGTTGTTACAAGAAAGATTAGAACTTTATCGAAGGGCAGAGAAGAAAGCAAAGGAACAAAAAGAAGCTGGTAAGGCCAGGAGATTTGATAGGGGAATTAAAACGTTGCAACAATTATTGAAGGATGCTCAGACCGGTGGTGTTATAAATGAGGCCAATATTCCACCTCCTTTACCTCCTTCGGCTGTATCTGAATTCTCCGAGCCAGCTACGGGTATAATTTCTTTTCTTTTATATTTCCCTCCTTGGATGGAGGGATTTACATTGCACATTCTATTTGTATATTTATTACAGACGATGGTGCATCCTCCGAACTATCAAAGGAAAATCCCTCGTCGGTGAGTCCTGAACGAGATAATGATTCAGAAGTTGGTCAAGCGGCACCGGCGGTTGTTCAGGTCGATCAGGAAGCATTAGCTTTGTTAAATAAACGACAGCAGGAATATAAGATTGCTGCCTTGGCATGGAAGAAAGCTGGTAACATTCAAGAGGCTATGCAATATGTAAAAATTGCAAAACAATTTGATATAGTTATAGCGGCAATTAATGCCGGAGAAGCAATCGATTTGTCCGATATGCCACCTACGCCAATCGGACCTTCCGTGTCAGCTTCCATGTCTCCTCCTGCGTCATCCTCCGTTGAAAAGGAAGACGTTGAAGTTCAGCAACGTGCCGAGCCAGATAAAATACCTTCTTCGAATAAAATTGATGAATTAACCGAACAACGGTATGGAATAGAAAATATAGAAGGTGCTCTTAAAGAGCGCCTTGACGTATATAAGCGAACAAAAGCGATCGCCGAGAACGAAGGAAATTCTTCGAAAGTTCGAAGATACGGCCGTATTTGCAAGCAGTTCGAGGAAGCGATTAAATTACATGCACGTGGCAAATCCGTACCTCTGGATGAACTTCCTGTTCCGCCGGGTTTTTCGCCACTTTCTATTCAATCGGCCGTATCAGAAGCAGAGAGACCGAAGGAAGAAGATGAAAAATCCAAACCGAAAACTAATTCAGAGGGAACGTCCGGGACAAATGCGCCACCTCCTCGAGCAAATATAGGTATTCATTAGGTTATAAATACCTATTCACCCTTGTTCGATTGTTACTTTATATCTTTCATCTGTTCCTTTCTTTTCTCTTCTTTTCTTTTCTTTCCTTTTTTCAAGCGGTAAATAAAAATCCAAAGCACGCTACGCGGGCGGATAAACAGATGGCAATGTTGCAACAACGTCAATACGAATTGAAAGAGGCCGCGTTAAAAGCCAAAAAGGACGGAGATTTGGACTTGGCACGCGATTATTTGAGACAAGCTAAAGGAATACAGCCCTTGATTCAAGCCAGTATGGCTGGTTTACCGGTCGATATGAATTCTATACCCTTATCGCCAGTTGCCAAAATGGAACTTAGTGCGAACGGCTTGACCGGTCAAACGGACGAAAATTTCCAATTGATCTTCGGCGAAGACTGTTTCGAGGAACGGACTGGAGGAACTGACGAACAAATTTACGATAACTTGGAGAACCAATTGATTAAACAAATAAAAGTACGATCTTATAAATTTCTAATGAAATTCAAACTTGGTATATTCTAACGCGATACATCTTTCTCTCGTAGTTGTGCCTTTCCACGAGAGATCATTCGAAACAATTGGGAGACGTTCCGGGATATAACAGATGGGAACGACTCGCCCTAGGATATACTCGGGATTTGGATATGTTACGGGTTAGAAGACGCGATGCGTTACCGGCCCCGTTGCATCACTATGAGACAAAGACATATGCGATAGTACAGTTAGTAGTATGAGACTTTTTATTCTCTCTTTCTATCAAATCAAATAACATCAATTATCTTATTTATCTTATTTATCTTCTAGGAGTTGTACCGACTTGAACGATAGCGATATTGAAATTTCGATAATAAGGGGTATCAATTATCCACGGGATGCTGATACTTACGTCATGTTTGAGTTTCCCTATCCCTCGGACAATCCTCCTGCAGACAGAACATCGACGGTTAAAGGTACATGCAATCCCGAGTACCAAGCTGTCTTTCCCTTAACAGGAATCCTAGATCGTAGCTCGCGCCAATGTCAACGGGCATTCAAACGACATGCTCTCAAGTGTCAAGTTTGGGCGAAAGGGTAAAGTTTATACAAATTATTTATTATTACGTTTGATTTTATTTTTCATTTTCCTTAATAGCCATAGATACGACAATGATATTGCTTTCTCATCGTCGATGATTTTTATTAAACCCTCGAATCGTCTATCGTAAAGATCGAAGAGAAGAAAGAGTTGCGTTCTATGTCATCGGCATGTTTAATAATTTACAAGCTACAATTTGCAGCTCTTAATTAACTCTTAAAACACTTTTCCGACGAGTGCTCCTCTTTCCTCCGTGTTTCTCGAATTTTTTCATTCGCTATATAAACTTAATATGCGCTTAATTATCGAACGTTATTATATATAGATATAACTAGCTAGAAAATATGAGATTTTGAACGTTGATAACATTCCTTACTTACCAGTCGACATTAGATTATTGCAGTAAATGGATTAGGACGTTGCTTACAGATGCTCGCTGAACCCCATCCTGTGTTGCACTCATCCAAGGTATGAAATTTTTCATACTCAAGGAATACAGATTTCTTTTTTCCTTTCTCTTTTTTTTTTTTTTTTTTTCTTTTCTTTTCGTTTTTTTCCTCTTACTTTTCTCTTATCTCAATCTTATTAATGCGTACGAGTGGCTTTGAACGTGGAATTTTTCTTACGGTGCCTTGCAATATGTGCTTAGGTTCAATCGATTCGATGAAATTTGATGCTTATGCAGTTATCATTTGGAATAACTAGAAATAATTCGTTTCATCAGTAATTATTATTAATCGATGAAAGGAAATACGGAAAACGTTAATTTTCAAATATTCTCCATCTCTTTCGTATACTGCGCCAGACTTTCGAACGTGCCTTCATTTACGAGCATTTACGAGCAAGCTGTAGCAACGTTACGACTGTTATGCTGCATTATTCAAACGACTTCAATCTTTCGTCGTGTAAATTCCCGTCGTAACTTAATCAATATGTTTGTATTTTTATAGAGGATTTTTCAGAAGCGACAGTTTACTGGGTACCGTGACAGTAAAATTGCAATCACTTGAGATGCAATGTATTCTACACGATTCATTTCCAGTAAGTTTTTTTTTTTTTTTTTCTTTAATCCTTACCATACGGATCCTAAGACTGACATTATTCTCACCATTTTATTTGATAATGCGTCCTCTTTGTGGCAGTTAATGGAGGGGAGGAAGCCAACAGGAGGAAAGCTCGAGTTGAAGATGCGCCTTAGAAATCCGATTATCACGAAACAGATAGAACAAATGACCGACAAATGGTTGATCATCGATAACTGATGCTTTTTCGTTTCGTCACCGAAACAAAATCGACATAATGCACTCGCATTTAATTTGGCAAGATACGCACTGTGGTTTTTCTACATAAATGTAGAACGTCGTTCTCTTAGCCAGTGATATTATTTATCTCAAGCAAGCGAACATGTAAATGTGTAAAATTAATCGATTATCTTATCCTCGTAGATAGACAAATACATATATGTAGATAAGCCTCTTTTTTTCTTTTTTTTTTTTTTTTTTTTTTTTTCTCTTAAGCCTTTCCATTCGTTACACTTTACTTGTATATATCATATATTATAAATATGTATTGAATAATATGCGCGTGGTATGAGAAACGATCAACGACGATGAAAAGTGGTGATTGCGTTTAATCGTTTATACGAAAAAAGATTTAACAGAGTTCTATGAATAAACGAAAGACAGCTTTTTATGGTATATTTGTACGGAAATAAGATAAAAGTTATTTAACATCGTTACGTTGTTCCTTGCGATATTGTCCTCTTGTGGAATATAAATTTCGGTCTTTCGGTGGTCGAGGTCGTTAAGATTTTGAAATGTAAGAAGGCAAACGTACACGTGCCCCTCCCCATCCCTCTCCCCTCCGTACAGATATCTGGACACGTAAGCCTTGGAAAGAATTGGCAAACACGTGCGTCGTTTGATTTACACGATTCGAGAAGGAACGATTCGCGGGATTAAAGCTGAATCGACATTTTCCAGAGAACAATACATCCAGGTGAATCCCCACTAACAAACTATTGTCCGATAATCGTTCTATTCTCTATCTCTTTTCAGCTATCTGTCCTACGATTTAGAAATTCTATGCGCGAATTTAATTATCAATCGCTAGAAGAAAATTATCTTTTCGGATCATATGCGTTTCAAATCGCAAATGGCGAAACGAACGACATGAAATAATAGATCGATTTAATTTGATCGCATTCGCAGATGTTTAGTTAAAGTGTTACGGCTCGAAAGAGAGAGAGAAAAGGAAGAGAGAGAGGAGCAACGTGCAAGCAAGCAAGCACCCGCAGCGAGCTACGGGTTATATATCGATCGCGTTCGTACACGTACGAATGGCCGATTGGAAAACAGCGGGATCTATTTGCCAATTAGACTATTAAGAGCGGCCGAAAAGGGCAAGGGCCGCGCGCGAGACCTGGCGAAATTCGCTGCTGGAAGAAGAGCGAGCGCGATTACATGGTCCAGTGCAGAGTATTTACCGAGCATATACATACCGCGGTAATGTTGACCTTTTGCCAGATCCATTCTGCGTGCAAATTAACGATGTTTGCTCTCAACCCTTTTGCCCTGTCTTGATTCTACCTCTTCTCTGTTCTCTCAACCCCGGTGCAACTCTCTCTCTCTCTCTCTCTCTCTCTCTCTATTGTATTTTTCGCCGCTGCGTTCGCTCTCCTTATTCCTTGCTTTCAGCCTCGAATTTTTAGTCTCGATCGTTTATCTTGCGAAAATCTTGGACCAACGCGTTAGGATTGCGTTTAAAATAAAGTAATAAAAAGAATCGTGTCCTTGTGCGATGAAAGTCAAAAGAATGTGCCACGTGGAACGATATTATGTATGTATATAAATAGCGAAAGCTTAGAAAAATTGCAAGGTCCACGATAAGATAGCCTTTGAGAAATGCAACATATCAAAGATAACGTTTTCTTTTTCTTTTTTTTCTATTTCGTATCGCTTAGAATATTGCAAAATTGCTTAATAAGAAGGTCGATTAAAATATTTTTGTTTAAATAAAGTATAATAACGTTAGCATTGATTTGTCTATATAGAAATAATATATCAGAGAATTCTTCGATATAGTGTCAAAGATAATAAAATTAAAAAGTTTCATTTTTTCTTTCTTTCTTTCTTTCTTTCGTTTTCCTTTTCTTTTCCTTTTTCTCTTTCCCTTATAAAACATAAATTTTTCCTCGTTAGAGATTAGCTGGTAAAGTTCGCACATTTTTTAAATTCGCCAAACGCGTGTCTCTTCTTTTACAAAATCGGACTCTGCAAGACGCGTCGGAGTCCGATTACACGATTTCTGCTTATGTCGCATATTGCCGGACGTGACGTCACTGGAACTCACGGCCGTGGATGCCAGGTGTGACCTGACACCAGGAGCTTCTTTATTCTCTTGTCTTCTTCCCACGTGAAATACAAACATATATCAATTCGCATAACGCGTACTTGGCCGCTCATTCCTCGGGCAATCATTAAACGTTGATTTCATCATTTTAAGATCTGATCTAGGAATTATAAACGATGCTCTTTCAATTATCAGTATAGACCAATTAAGCGAACGATCGAATTAAGAAATCTTCCAAGCTCGTTCCTTTTTACTTTCAATTTTTTCATTTTTAATCGATACGCGCGATTTTTATTAACGCACGCGAGTACGCCGGCAATTCGTATTAATTATTAATAAACTATTACTCTTTGTAAGAAGGAGACGATAAGTCGAAACCCCGTTGTAACGCGAATGCCATGTCGCGATATGCGACACTTTGATTATGCCAATCTAATACATTCGATCCTAGAACCTAGTACTACCGCGTAAATATCGCTTTAATTGCGCATAATGGATCGTTGTTACATAATGTTTGTAACTAATGTTGCAGATATACCGGCTTCGTTCTTCTATAACATCTTAATGTTAAATTTGCTCCAATTTGCTCCTTCGGTCAAAAGTAGTAAATCACTACTGGTTGACGCAACTGATTGGACGATAAAATAATATTTAAGAGATCGAATATATCATTGTATTTTCATTCGAATAATTTTTTAAGCGAAATTTATGAAAATTTCCCCATCCACGCTCTCTTTCCCTTTTCTATTCTTTTCGTTTTATTCATAGTCGGGCGAATCATTGAACACTATCGAGAATGGTCGAGCGCCGGCGAATCGTTCGTAGAGAAGTAGAGGTACGTACATAAAAAGCGGATTTCGAGGAAGACGATGAGAGAGGGAGGGAGGGGAGAGAAAGAAAAAACGGAGGCTATTAAATCGAATAGCTCGCGTGAAAGAAAGGGAAGCAACGATTCTTTCTTGAAATCCCGACCGATTCTCGTCTCTTTCCTTTTTTCTCGTCGAACTGAAATAATAAAGTGCTGCTCGTTGATAACGTTCCGGTGACAAATATGACGGTACTTCCGGGACAGAGTCGGAAATCACCAAATGCGTTTGCTTCCGTTTCGTATTATTCTATGCGTGTTCCGCATAGTGATTTACGTCCGTTCCAAGTCGCCTTCCTCGATTATTTCTTTATATTTACTCGTCATCCCCGATCTGATTCTTTCCCATCGAATTAAAAATAGTTATCTACCTCCTACGATTAGTTGGATTTGATCAATGATTTATGCCGATAAATCATCTAATCGTTGTTTTATTCCACGTACATAAAAAGGAAAGAAACCGTTCGACTAATTATACTGGAGACGAACGCGTTTAATTAAACGCTAATCCTAAGATATTTTCTAAGGAGAAATAAACGATTGAGAAAACACGAACGATATTCTCGCGCGATCTTTTAATATTCATCGTTGAGAATTTAGGGATCGTGGCGATTTGCTCCTCTAGATGACGAACGAACTCGAGAAGAGTAAGATAAACTCTTTTCGTCTCGCTCTAATCAATCGTTAGGTCCTGTCAACCAACCCCCATTTAAAATCGTAAAAGGACCAAACTGTTGTCAATGAACGTTATGTTTTTAATCGCTGCGACACAAATAGCGAGGATTCGATTGTTCGCGAAGCCGATGCAAAGCGATGATCCGAGAATAATTGAGCCACCGACGGCAAACAGATTCGTAAGAGCTAGCTAGCGAGCGAGTGAGCGAGCGAGAGAGAGAGAGAGATAAAGTAGAGCTAGGGGTTGGCGAGTCACAGGGAGAGGGTTGTTCTCGACTACCGCTCGAAGACCGTCGCACGATCTCTACTTCATTGTGTCATCCGTCATCGCGCCACGAACAAATGAACGTCTCAACGGTTGCCAGACAAATGACTCGAGGATTATCCTTCGAATGTTCTCTTTCTCTCTCTCTCTCTCTCTCTCTCTCTGTGTGTGTGTGCGCGCGCGCTCGCGTGTGTGTTTCCTTCGTCTTCCTTCCAGCATCTCTCTCTTTCTCTTTATATTTTATAGTCCTCTCCTTCTCTCTTTCTCGTCTCATCCGTTCATGAATGGAACGAGGGTGTAGCGTTTCCTTCGAAATATCGGCCGTGGCCACTCGATCACCCGCAACAGTTTGCGCATAGACCTCCGAGATCGTATCCGAGGCATTATCTCGATCCATCTTCGAGTCTCGAAGGAAGACCAAAGTGATGCACGATCGACTAACGGTATAAACGTTCGACTTCCGACGAGGAGCACAAACCTTCCAAGACGAAGCACTCTTTTATCACGAATAAATGACGAAAGATTCGGAAGCAGATTTAAATGGATATTACTGGAACTTGTCGTTAGTCCAACGACGACTACATCTAATCTCTAGCAGTCTATTTAATGAATTTTCGTAGCTGATCGATCCACGAGTTTTCTACTTGTCATCAGTAATCGCTATATTCTTCGCTCGACGGACGAAACGCTATCGACGCTATCGAAACAAAGAGAAATAATAATTTATTCATTGGATAAACATGAAATATCATTTATAGTCTCTCTCTCTCTCTCTCTCTCTCTTACATATAAATTATATATTATTTTACGATAGATCATATCGAACGTTCTTAAATCGAAGAATTTCTCTTATATCATATCGCTGCAATAATTTGTATCGCATCGTCGTCGATGGCGTCGTCTCTCGGAACAGAGAGAGAGAGAGAGAGAGAGAGAGAGAGAGAGAGAGAGAGAGAGAGAGAGAGAGAGAGAGAGAGAGAGAGAGAGAGAGAGAAGAGTTGTGGGTGTTAGGTGAGTATAGGTGGGTTCATCGGTAGGTTGGCTCGCTGGCTGACTGCTTGGTATCGATGTGCAGCCTGGCAAGCCGGCTATGCTGGCTCAGCACTCTCCCTCGTTCCTCCTCTCCTACCCTCCTCATCCTCATTCCCCTCCTCCTTCTCCACCTCCTTCTCCTGCTCCTCATCCTCCGGTTTCTCTCTCGTGCAGGTTTACTCTCTTGGTCCTAGGACAGCCTCGGTCTCGACATCATCCCAAAACTCGTCCATAAACTTAACCTTCTTAGAGCCTACGAGGATGACTTAATTTTTACGACGAAAGAGCAATGATCAAGAGTGTAAAGAAAATAAAGTAAATGACGTCGTAAGAGTGAAATTAAAAAGTAATCAATTATCGGGTCATTTTTTTGGGTCAACTTTTACGAATCGTTCTGACGAGAGGGAGAGAGGGAGAGAGTATCGGCTTTAATTCGATTTTTCAAGTCCATCCGAGTGAGACTCATCCCAACCCTTGATATCTAGAGGGGCTAATGTGAAATAAGCTCGTGTAATTTTCTGATCAGTCCTACGAAATCTTGAATAAACGATGAATAAACGAGACCGAGATTGGCATTGGAGTTAAGACGAAAAAAAAAAAGAACAATTCGTCGGATTTCGACGAGCGAAACTTCTTCTTTTCTTCGTCCTTCTTCTCTTTGCCTTTCGAATGCAATTGCCGTCGTAAATCTCGCGGTAAAGTTTGTTGTGCGGCAAACGGGCAGACGTTTCTCTCCCGAACGATACGATAGATCGGTCTCTTGACCTCGCGGTATAAAGATTTAATAGCATCGCGAAGTCAAGCGAACTTATTCGCCTTTTGACGAAGATCGATCTCGCCCGACGACGTAGATATCGAGCAAACGTTATTCGGCTTGCATCTTCCGATTCGATTATCCTTTCCTCGTTCTCGTTTGTGGGCTCATTTTCTACACGGACCTAATGTCTACGCTTTGTTAGGATTACTACAAATTATTTCTATCCATCGACAGAGGTTATAGGTAGGTATATATTTATTTCTTCATCGAATAATTCATTCATATTTTAGCCGAGATCGATGCCTTAGCCGAAACGCCGTCGTTCAAATGCCGAATCTCATCGAAATTGCATCTTGCCAATTTTTTTTTTTTCCTTATTACCGAATACGCATAAATCGATCGTCGATCAAATTTTTTTGACTAATCAGTATAATCGTACCCAATTCAAAATAAATAAGCATCGAGTTTATCGGTTTTAAAGTTGAATCTCGAGCTTGGTATCGTTGGTAAATTTCGCTACCGCGTCGAGAAATCGTACGCGACGGTACTCGTACGCGAGGGAAAAGAGGAGCAAGAGGACGAGGAGAAGAGGGTCGAAGGATGTCGGAGATGCAGCGTCGACAAATTCCTCGCTCAAACAAAATGGCCAATCCTATCGGCGTTGTTCCTTCTATTTCGGCCCTCGCCGACATTCGCTCCGTCTAGACCAACAAAATTCTCTCCGATCTCTCGTTACCTTCTTTTCTCGTCGGATTAAAGCCTTGGATAGGACCTTAAAGATTCGACCCTTGAAAAAATAGTAAAGCGAATAATTTTAGATGCATCTTCGATTTGATTAGACGCTCCTAAAGGATTAGAGACGAAATGGCCAAGATCTTTGGTATCGTCTCGTAAGAACGGGAGAGAGAGAGAGAGAGAGAGAGAGAGGAGGAGAAACGAGGCTTTGAGAGAGAGGTAGGTGCGACAGCGAATAAGGAAAATTTGATATTCATGAAGTATTTTAAAGTCGTGGCATCTCGGAAATGGGTACGAAGAAGGGCTAAAGGTTAAGATCCTTGGACGTCTGCGGAAAGCTATTTAGATACGAGGTCGCGATTTCCTCTTTTCCCTTGTCCTCGCGAATCACCGTCTCTTCATAAACGCTTCGTGATCCTCGAGCTTTTACCTCGTTCGCGCGAGAATACGCGCGCTCCAATTTTATCTTTCGTTCCTTACGTGAAATGCAAAAAAAGACAGACAAAGAGAAAGAGAGAGAGAGAGAGAGAGAGAGAGAGAGAGAGAGAGAGAGAAACTATTACGACTTTCATCGAGCGAGTCGATCGAGATAAGTAGATATATTGAAACGATGTTACGGGTAACCTACCGAGGTTACTATACATTTGTACTCACCTTACAATTTGCCTTAATTTGCAATTCCGAATTTGAAGTTTTGCATGCAAAAGTTGAAAAGTTTTCATTTGAATAATTCGCTCGAAAGTAAGCATACGGGAATAAAAGTATTCACCGTTTAAAAAATTAAAAGAACTGAAAGAGCAAGAAAGTTGAAATGATGCATCATGCAACTGAGACTTTTTGATTAAAGTTAATATTTCTAGAGACGTCGAAGTGGTTCCAGTTAGGTAGGCCACCCTGTATATAATATAGGAGTTTTTGGAAAAGAGGAACGTTCCCAAAGAAGCAAAGAAAATAAAGAAGAAACGGGAAAAGAAGAGTAAAGAAGAGAAGAAGTGGTTGGAAATGGAAGGAGTCGGAGATAAGGGGCGTGAGCAAATGGCGGCAACCGAACGAATCCCAACTCGCGTGCATCGTTTGGGGTGGTCCCAAGGAGCACGCCCACCCTACTTGGTGACGTCACCAAGTGACATGCGCGCCAATGTCATGTCACCCCCGTCAAGTTCGGCGCGTCGCGCTGCGCTCGAGCGTATCGGCCACCACTCAGATAACGGAGACACCGACGACGACGCATCTCTCTGCTCTGCCGGTGCGCATCCCTCTCTTTTTTTTTCTCTTAATGTCTATTTCTCTCTCTCTCTCTCCCCCTCTCTCTCTCTCTCTCTCTCTCTCTCTCATCTTCACTCAGCTCTCTTTCTCTCTCTCTCTCTCTCTCTCTCTCTCTCTCTCTCTCTTTGTCCATTTCTCCGTTTCGCGTTTTAATATCGAAATATTTCTCGAAGTGAAAACGACGCTCGGTTCTCTGTGTATTTCGGCGAGCAAAAGTCTTGCTTGAAAGACTGAGGAAAAGGATTATTATTTGGCGGGAAAGAGGAAACGTCGAGTGGCATCAAAGTGCGAGGAAAAGTGTCAAGTGTCGAGGACGACGACGACGAAGACGACGACGACGACGACGACGACGACGACGACGACGACGACGACAAAAATCGTTCTGTTCGTCGATCGAAGGAACAACCTTTATAAGAATCCTTAGAAAGTGTCCGTGTCACGTGGATCTACTGCGGCTTTTTCCTTTTTTCCTTCTTGTTTTTCTTTTTTTTTGCTCGAGGACTGCAAAAGAAAAGTGATCACGACGACGTTAGAAACAGCGACGAATTGTCAAGAAGGTGCCGGAGGAGTAGCCGTTGTAACCGAGGAGACGCTCACGTATGCAGCTGCAACGGACGCGGTAGAGAAGGTGGAGGCGCAGGAGGTGGAGGTCGACGAGGTTAAGATGGAAGCCGAGGACCATTTAGCTAGGGAATACGTCCAGGAGTTTGTCCTCGATCATCTCGATCCCGCCGACGTCAAGCGAGAGGTGCTTCTCGTTTTCTCTTCTTTGATCTTTTTCTCTTCCGTTTTCCTCTTTTCCTCCCTCCCTCCCAATTGTCCTCTCCCAAAACCCTTAAAACCTCTTCCGAGGGATATTTCAAAGGGGGATGATGTGTTCGCCGCAAAATAGAAAGGAATATTTTAAAACGGACGAAAGTGGAACGAAAGTCGAGGGAATACTATGTGTATTTGCCGGCAAACGCACGTGCTCTCTTCTCGCGAAACGTTAAAGAATGAATCTTAAAGTTGATTATATAAAAGGAATTATCGATGACGTTGCAGCGTGTCGAGTATTACGTTTGCATATCCTTATCTCTCTGTGTACCATTCATAAAAGTTGAAGTTCATTAGTGAAGTTCAAGAGATAATAAGTTCGCTCGATTGCAGCGTATAAAGTCACAAAAACTTTCAACGATTTTCTTTCTTTCTTTCAACGTTATTATCGATCGTGAGATCGTGAGATTTCCCCTTGGTAGTGATTATCGTACGCGTTGTAACACAGCGTAAAGAAATTTATTTCGAGTTTTGTGATAACGCCGTACACATACTTATGTACTATTAATTTATTTAGACAAAAAGCGTTTACAGCTCGCGACGTCGTATTTATTATTGTTTCAGGTACGAATGGGTTCGCCGAACGTGATGGTGAACGGAAGCGTGGTGCAAATTCCAGGACAAGTACATGGAGGTCAGGGCCTGACTCTGGCACCATTGACACCACCTGCCCACGAATTAGAGCAGCCGCATCCGTTGTACGGGCAACCTCATCATATACAGGTGCAACACGGGGTGCTGGTAAAGGCACCACCCGGTGGTGCTCCACATTTGACGACCCTTTCGCATCCAGGCACACCACCGGACACGCCGCCGGTCTCTGCCTCTCCACCCCCGTTGCAGCTGCATCGCGCCGAGCGAGACCCTCGCGAACGCAGCGGACTCCTATTGCATCTGCAACAACCTGGATCCATATTACAAGATGACATGCAAGTTGGACCCGGTATCGGAATGGGCTGGCTCACCCAATCCCTCAGACAAGAACCGTTGGATCTTAGACCTCACTGTCCTCAGGAACAAGGCCAGGAGCCTCATCACGAAGCTTGGCCCTCGTCTACCGCGAGCCATCATCACTTTCAGGAGCATCAACACTTGCCGAGACATACCAGGCATCCCGGTAATGTCCTCCGATAACCTTCCCCTTATCTCATCTCATATATCATGATCTATGATCACTTGGATCGATAATCGTACAAACTTATAAATCCCTTTATAAATCTGATTTCATTATAAACGACATAAATATCTCTGGGTTGGGATTAATGTAATATAATATATAGAGATTCGAATCGGATAGAGATCACGGACGTTATTATATCAGGTAACGGCGATTGGATAAAAGAGTTTAACGACAAGAGAGGCTCGTTATCGCCCACAGGTGGGTACATCACAATGTCCAGTCACATCGAGTACTATGGCGGTCCAGGTTCAGGCGGCGGGATGCTTCCCGCGGGCGGGGGTGTGATGCAGAGCATGGAGGATAGCATGCAAGGGATGCCCATGCAACCGGGTAGACCGTTGAGCGTTTGCTCGGTCAGTTCTTGTGGAGCCAGTGGTCCAAGTCCTGCTCACAGAACTGCCAATGGACTTTACTCGAGCTGCGGACCGGCTAATTCGCAGGAGGAGCTCATGAACGACGAGCTCCTCATGTCGCTCTCCGTACGCGAATTGAACAAACGCCTCCATGGTTGCCCGCGGGAAGAGGTGAGTCAGGTCTCTCATTTTTTCAAACGATCACAAGATCGACTCGAATTAGCCTCGAATCTCAATCGATCCTTTTTCAAATTCTTTACAAAAAAAAAAAAGAAAGTCGATCGATTCGTTTAACTTCCTAGCCGTTACATTTTCTAAGATCGATCGGGATTTAACTTGGTCGAACTTTATTGAACGATCGATTATGACTACCTTGAGAACCGGACAACAACTTTTAAATTCGTTCAAATAGCAAATCCTGTGACAAATATTGATTTGATTTAAACCAGCGAAAGGACCTGATCGTCGTGATTTTTTCGTCCCTTCCGCATAGAGTATAATGGAAAGTCAATGGTTCTCGAGGTGGTGGCTTCTCGAGTAATTATTGCGCGAGTGGCAAGGGAGAAGTTTAGATAAGCTAAAAGCGGACGAACGAAAACGTTATAAGCGATCGATCCTCTTGCGAAGGTCGTCCGTTTGAAGCAAAAACGTCGGACTTTGAAGAATCGGGGATACGCGCAAAACTGTCGCAGCAAACGACTACAGCAACGTCACGATCTCGAGACGACCAATAGTAATCTGCAAAATGAGCTTCAACGAATGAAGGTCGAATTGGCTCGGACCCAACAGGAACGGGATCTCTACAAGCAACGCTGTGAAATATTGAGGGCTCGTCAGACTCATAGTCATCACAGTCATAGTCACAATCATCATCAACAACAACAACAACAAGCCCCCCAGCCGACGCAGCAACAGCAGCCGCAGCAAGCTCAGCAACAGCATCCTCAGCAACAACAGCAGCCACCGCCACCGCAACAGCAACAACAGGCGCAGCAACATCAACAACAACAACAACAACAACAGCAGCAGCAGCAGCAGCAGCAGCAGCAGCAACAACAACAACAACAACAACAACAGCAACAACCGGCACCAGCGAGCCCGGAGGTCTATCTATGACATCGACAGCGCCGAGGAGGCGCTTGCTGGACCTGAACGATTATCTCGATATCGAATCCTTGAGCCGGTGAGTCGATCAGAAACCTTTCGTTTTCCTTTCGTTTGGGAAGAGCAAATGGTCCGATTAAAAATTAGCAATCTCGTAGATATTTCGTAGCGTAGTAAAACGTTACGCGACGTTGCGGGAAAATTCTGCGGTCAGGCGTTATCAACGGTATAAAAATTCATTAAACAGGGTATCAAGAGGCGCGCGAGATAGCATCGTCGACCGGGGACCCGTTTAAAAGCGTTTACGCGCGGCACGCGGAAAGATGTGCGACGAGATAAGAGACGCACGACGGTCGACGTTTTAACGCCTTCGTAAAAATTATTACATCGTTGTTCCGCGAGCTTTACAGGTTTATCATCGTGGCCGTTGAGGCCGCATCATCCGCTCGGAGTATGGTCAAACACTACGGTCAGGTTACTCCGTCGGAAAAGTAACGAGATCGAGGCTACCATAAACGTTGCATTCTTCCCTATTTTTCCCTAGTCTGTGGCGATCCAGATGACACCCTTTATCATCCTTCATAGGATAATTTCGGAATAATTTTCATTAAGATTTGATGCGCGTATTTCCAGGAGGGAGGGGGGATGGTGGAAAGAAAGAAAGAGAGAAAAAAGAAACGTCGCGGTTACGCGCTTTAACGATATTACGGCCGAGGTCGATTTGGGGTCAGCATTTAAATAAGATTAAGCTCGCGCCAAGCAGCTTTTCCGGATCGGATCAACATTGTAATCCCTCGTCCCGCTTCTCACGGGCCAGGATATCTTCCATTAGAAATTTACTACGTTTGGAGGATGTGCGATACGTCGTGTGGTGTTAACAATTTTCTTAAAAGTCGATTAAAAAATCAACCAATCCAAAAAGTTCACCGGCCGAAATTTTGGTCTCCTTTCTTTTATCCTACTTTTTTCTTCTTTTTTCCTTTCTTTTTCATCACTTGTGGTTTCTCGATAATTCTCTTTTTACAGCTTCTCGAGAACGATCGTGGATCGAGAAATGGGATCGAAGATGGAAGGAAGGAAGGAAGGAAGGAAGGAAGGTGCGAGCGATATCCTCGGAGAGATGGCGTTATCTCGACAACGCGCCTAATTCCGAAAAACGATAGATGCTAAAATGCTCTATGCGTGCGTGTATACAAATTATAAAGAAGGTTTATACGAGGATAGATGTGGCTTTCGGTTTCTTTCATTTTTCTTTATCACGACACCTCCTCGTTCCTCCGTTCGCGTTCGAACCTACACAATCTGCATAGAATTATGTTCGGTGAAAGCCAAGAGATACAAGGTATAAAGTCAAGCATGTTTTGCGTAGGAGGAATGGAGGAGGAAAGGAAGAAGAGAGGTTACTTATAATTAAGTTAAGGAAAATGTAGAATTAAGGTACACAACAGGAATTCGAATACACAGAATCTTTGTTCTTTTCTTCTTTTTAAGTTACTTTTTAAGAAACGCCGACGACTGTCGCTCGGGCTTACCTGTGTATATTATATATACTTGCAATTCATCTTACATCGTTTATGTAATATACGATCGCGTAGCTCTGAAGAATAGCCTATTTATCGTCGCGCGAGGCTCATCGGTCGACAGTATTTTTCAAGATTATCCGCGAGCGAAGAACTCGCGCTCTCTTCTAACGTCAATTTTACTACTACAATTAGGGCATTCACGGAAGTTTTCTCCTTTCCTCTATCTCATTCTATCCGTTATCCATTATCGTTTTCCTACGCGAGATTGACATTATCTCTCTCTCTCCCCCTTTTTTTACTTCTTTTTATTTCTTTTAACTCTATTTCACCTATGGTCTAGATCGATTTGTCTCTTCCGTGAGTCGAATAGGACAAAGAGAAACTTTGATCGTTAATATATATTATCGCGTAATTAGATCTCCCACGCAAAGGACCGAAAAAGAGGCATACATCGTTTCAATGTGATCATGGCACAAAAAGTAATCGGTATACGGTAATACCTGTACGGTATTTCTCCACGACTTGGCTTCTTCGACGAAGGAAGAACGGAAAAGTAAAGAAGAAGAGAAAGAGGAGGATGAACTGATTGAAGAAGGATCTTCATCTCTATCGATACTTACAAATTCGATAGAACTTAACGAAGAAGTCGAGTGATTAACATGCGTTAGACGATGGCGTAACTTTGACTTTTGAGGAGAACGACGATCCTTCTTTTACGTAGGAAGGATATAAGAAGGTAAGAGAAATCAGGGAAAAGTTTTATTCGACGAAATTAATGAGGAAAATAAGAACGAGTCGGTGCCAATGGTCCTATTGGTCTATTTAACGAGAACGTTTACCTACGCGCGCAAAGCTACGCCACCGATCCTAATTAGAAAAGAATATTATGCATATAAAAAAGTATATATATATATATATATATATATATATATATATATACATAAATATATTATTGTTTTCTCGTACGGACGACGCTCGGTCCGTACCACCACGGGCCGAGACTTGTCCGATTCGATTTAAGAATGTTTTAATTCCCGTTGCATCGTCTCTCGTGTGTACATAAAAGTAATTATTATACTTCTTATTATAAATAAACGTCGACAAAAAATCCGACAGTTTCAGACAGTCGACGGAGTCGTATTATTTCGAAATATCCAAAACCATTTCCCTTGGCCGAGCTAACTCCTATCGATAGATATATTATCTGCTAATATTAAGTTAATACGATTGATTATTAGAGTTTAAAGATATACAAGAAAGAATTTGTTCTAAGGAGAGGAGAGGAGAGGAGAGGAGAGGAGAGGAAAAGTAAAAAAGAAAAGAAAAATCGAGGACTCGCTTCAGCCGAGCGATTCGCATTTCGTATGAAAATCGTGGATTCAGCGTTTCGTTTGAGTCAACGCTACCGAGAGAAGGGAAAAGCCCTCTTTGCGCTTATCGCGTGTTCTTCTGTGTAACAATATTCTTCCAGCCAACAAATTTCCTTCTCCTCCTCTTCTTTCTCCATTTGCGATGTCCCTTCGCGGTCACAATTTCGCGCATTCTACCTACTCGGATTTCAAGTAGCGAAACCAATATCTTGCTTACGTCGTGGTAATTAAATCCTACTGCTACGTGTCACGCACCGAGTTAATCTTTATTTAAAGAATTCCGGGTAGGCTCTCCTTGATTATCTTTCTTAATCGTTTATATCGAAATCTCTCTTTTTCTCGTTAAGAAACTTTTTTTTCTTTCCTTTTTTTCTTTTTTCTTTGCAATATTTTTGCCGATAAAGTCCTTTGACATTCATTCATTCTCCTTAATTTAATTTTACAATCGAGAACAAATTGTGAAATATTACAGATAGTTTCTTTTCGAGCGATATCAGAAATACGTACACGGCTATGTAATTAAATACTTATTAGTAGTGATGCGGAATCAAGGCTTATTAAGGAAAGAATAGGAAATAAACAAAGAGGAGGGGGGGGAGAGGAAGAAACAGAAAGAAAGAAATAGAAAATGGACAGAATGGAGTAACTTTAGCGTTCTCGCGCTTCCCTCGCTTTATTTGCAACGCCATTTCTGCTGACTGCGTCGCTTCGACGATGAATCCATCGGGATGGAACGTCGGTAAACAAAACGTTCACCTCTTCTAACCTGACCCCACCATCCACCATCCACCTCCCGAAGCCCGTAGCTCGCGATAAACTTTGATCAAGTTTGCGTTGCATCTCCGTCCCTCTTCCCATCTCATTCATATCTATATTATTATTATTATTACTTTTATTATTATTTGTGAGCGCTGATTTTAATGGAAATAAATATTTTTCTAACGCAACTTGGACGCAAGTTTGTGTACTTTAAAAGTCTGTACTTTTTCCTTGCTTTTCTTTTTTACATCATTTAAATATAAAGAGAAAAGAGTTAAGAGAGCGAAAACGTAGGAGAGCGCGAAAGATCACACGAGCTTCTGCCCGTTGACAGGTTTGAAGTTTGATAAACTTCTAACGAGGATACAACCGACCCGTCTACACAGGGGGCTGCTTGACAATGGACTTGTCTTCGATTCCGGACAACCCTCCCTTAACGACAGACGTCGTTGCTTCGTTACTCGACAGGATCGACTAATCGTTACTTCCAACAGGTTCGTTCGGTGATTTACGTTTGGATGTTCTTTCCAAAATTCTTAATTATGCAAAACAAGGAAGATCTTTACGAAATATAAATAAATAATAAACTTTTCTTCAAGACTCGAATCCTTCGTCCTTTTTATCTACGGTCTAGTTATTATTCAATCAAGGGATTGCCTTTCACAAATCACAATAGACATTAACGATTAACATTGATCGAACCTTATATATTTCAAAGAGAGAGTGCATCGGGAAAAAGGACGAGCTAGGTACGAACGAGCTAGGTTGAAGAGAAAAAGACAGAAAGGGGTTGCAGAGAAAGAGAGTAAAAGAGAGTGGGTGAGGGGTTGAAGGATGGAAAGGACAAGGCAGGAAACGAGTTGGAGGTGAGACGAGCTTTATTGTCAAGTCACGCCAGCACCGTGGCCTATCTCTATCTTCCAGCTTCACCCTTCTTGCAGCCAGTTCTCTCTCTCTCTCTCTCTCTCTCTCTCTCTCTCTCTCTCTCTCTCTCTCTCTTTCGTCGGTGACGTAGATTGCCTCACCCTACCAACATCCCTTCTCTAGCTACTCTCGGCCACCTTTCTTCCTTTTCTTTCTTTCCTGCGATAGTGCAGCGCACGTGCGCCTTCTTCCATCTTTCTCTCTTTTTTGCACTCTTAACACTCGTCCGTGTCTTTCGTATCTCCCGTTGAAAAGAAACGAATACTTTGACATAAAAAAAATACTAACTGAAAAATCGATTTAGGAGTCGGCATACGCATCTTGACCAAGTAATGCGCTGCGAATGTCAAAGGAGATCAGGGCAGCCACGCTGTTTATCGTCTTTCTCTCTTAACGTTGATAAGAAATTTGACACCGGACTTGGGCATTGTAAGCGGAGTCAATTCATTGCTACCAAGAGTCGAACGATCGTCGTGTTTACAGTCGTTAATCTCAAAAGCATTTATTTCTCTTCTCGCAACTCGATATCTCGAATCTGATGTTTTATCGTGGACCACACGTGTAACTATTACGTAATATTATATATCTTTCTCTCTCCCTCCCTCCCTCTCTCTCTCTCTCTCTCTCTCTCTCTCTACATTAGCCTTCTGGATAGTTAGGAATGGATTGGAGGATGGGAAAGAGAAAAGTATAAGAATTGGAATTATGAATTATCCGATTGTTTCGTAAAAAAAATCACTTTAAGAGAGAAATTGTTCTTTCAAAGAGGACATCGAACTTTATACGAATAAAAAAATACTTCGCAAAGTTCCGGTTCTCGCGTCTTTCGTCCATGATCGTGGAAGGTGAGAAAAACTCAAAGAAGGAATAAAAGGAAGAAAGAAAGATGACGATAGAAAGGGAAAAGATGGTCGAAGGAAGGACAAATCAATCGGTCCGACTCATTTCGTCGTCGCAGCTTTAAGCCGGTGACGTCACGTTTACTCTCGCCGCGACGGAGAATCCAGAGAAAGGGAAGATTCGGCGACGCCAGCATCTTTCACTTCTGATGACGATGTAGGTTCGCGGTGGTTGATGACGCGGCACGTACGTTATATCCGTACCTACAGACAGACATACATACAGACACACACACACACACACACACACATGGAAGCTTCCGCATTCACCGAATGAACGAATGAACGAAACCTGCGAAGAGACGCGGAAGTAAAGAGATCACGAAGACGAGCACCTTGACCGAGTCTCGGCGACCACCAATCGTAGATCGATACCGAAAATGCCATCCTCGAACTTTCCTTTCGTTTCGTTGATGGTCTTGCTAAAAATATACCGTCGAACGATGACATCATTCCATGACCGGTCGAATTAATGAATTTGTAGGTAACGTTGAGAAAATTTCGAGGAGACAATAACTTTGATATTTTCCTTACGCCGAGCGAGAGCCATTGACGGAGGTCCGGTGTAACGACCCTGAAGAAGACCACCCTGACCCAGTCGTAGACCCAGTCGGCTCGTCAAAAAGAATCGATACTCGCTAATCAGATCGCTACCCTACCACTCCTTTCTATCGCGAATGTCCACAGATACGATCGAATGGGGACGGAGGTGCTCTCACGTCGAACTTCGAGATTTCAGACGTTTCAG